GGGAATATCCATTCAGGTGCTTCTTCACTTGATTAGGCCCTGGGCCAAGGTCGGGTCTAGATCAGACTGATGGGCCCCCACATGCTCTCTCTCTCTCTCTCTCTCTCTCTCTCTCTCTCTCTCGTGTCTGTTTATTATCCTGGGCCGAGCAAATACACCTTGGCAATCCCCCTCCAGCGGATCCTGGCGATCTCCCTCTCAAGAATCACGTCTTCCATGGCAACCTCCTTTGTAGGCTCCATATCATCCAGCGGATCATCTTGGTTGTCGGTATCTAATTCCACAATCTCTGGAGGAGTCGAAAGATGATTACGAATAGAGATTCTTTCCTTTTCCATTTTGACCCACCTGTTGTTTTTTTCTGACGCTCCAACAGATTGGTGCTTCAGACCCATCCTTCACAACCTTGTCCTTTGTGGCGATCCCACTACATAACCCCTAGGTGTTGGTGATCCCTGCGCATCTGATGCCTCTCCACAACTCGATGGCCCTTACTTCTAATTCTTCCTCAAATTTTTTATCCTCCTCTTGGACCTTTGTCTCTTGGGTAAAGCCGTTCGCGCAACACCTGTCACCGGGTAAAACACTGCAGATCGAGAGTTGAGCTCGATCTCGACTCGTTTATCACTAATAAAGAGGCGATCTCGAGCTTTAACTATCTGAACTATAGAAAATTACATATAAAATCAATTTTCAAGTCTTAATGAGCCGAGCTCGGCTCGTTAACCAAATGAGTGTTTAAATGAGCTCGAGCTCAGCTCGTTTATCAAATAAGTTGAGCTGCACTTGAGCCAGACTCGTTTAATTTAAAAACACCACCGGTAACATAGTTCGTTTCGACTTGTGAAAGATCGAACTCGACTCACTTGTATATTTATACGAGCTAAAGTCAAACAATTAATCGAGTTTTTCTATCAAACAAGTCGAGTTGAATGTGTTCACGATCGACTCAGTTAGAATTTTTTATTTTGGTCTAGATTTAATAGTTTATTAAGCGAGTCGAATCGGTTTAAACGATCTGAACTCGGACTCACATTTCTGTTTGTTTATTAAATGAATTGAGTCATGACAACTCGTTTATTAAATGTACACGAGTTTAAACATGAAGTACTTGACTTGAATAATCTAGCTAGACACATATATAAAAAAAAGTATGAAAACAATTTTGAAATATTAATATAAATTACGTGAATCACACATTACATAATATCAAAATACGAATGTTGTATTTATAGAATAAAAATCAATTATATAAATTTTCAAAAAAACTTGTGAATTATTAATTACTCATTTATACTGACAAATCATAATTTTTAATCAATTAATTATTATTTTTTAAATGCAATGATATTTTATCTCATATACTTGAATTTTAATTAGAAAAAATAATAAATATTATTTAAAGATACCTCCATGAGACGGTATACTAATCATTTTATTCTTGTTGTATGACATCTCATTTAAGGTTTATATATCATTTTATTGAATATGCCATATAAATAAATAAGACTTGGTATAAATTGTTTATATACTAAAATGCCATTTATTTGTAAAATCGGAAGAATATACAACTAAATCGTAAAATCAGTAAATTCAACCGCATACTAAATATTCTAATGGAAGTCTAACACAACTAATTATTGTATTGAATAAAATAATTCAAATAAATTTTATTTAACTAAAAAGTATAATATAAACACAAAAAGAAGACAAAAAAGGACATAATAAGCTAAAAAGAAAAGTAAGAAGAGACTAAAACCGTTTTCAAATATATAGTTCATTGATTTAATTTAAAATAAATAAATTTATTTTGGGACAAAATAAGATTAATTTGTGTCTGGCCTGATACAACATGAGTTAAAATATTTTTTACTAGAATATATTTTTATGTACCAAAAAATTAAGACCGGACTGGAGCCCACCCTAATCTTTAGGTGACTTTGCCCCGTGTTACCTTGTCAACAAAAAGCCTCGTAACAAGCTCGTCGGAAAGCTTGTGTAATTTGAATAAATATATTAATCTTAAATAGTGACATTTATAGTCATAATTACAAAGATACATGAATTAAACAAATTCTTAATAAATACATTGTATGTTTTAAAACAATTCAAACAAATATAGAAAAAGAAATCAAATTCTAATTACTACATACCAAATTCATGGAGGTTCTATATATTATATTTAAAGGAAAAATGCAATCGGTTGACATTTGCAATCAATTAAATTCGGTTTGTGAAAATATTAGCCCTAGGCACATTTGACTGACCTAAAAATGAAAATAATGGCAACGGTATCTGGAGTCGTAGTAAATTATTTGTGTTTTGTCCAAAGATGACAGCTGACGCCAGACGACACAGGCAGCCTGTATTCCCCCATAATTTAATAATAATCATTTCAATTTTTTGAACACACTTTTTTTATTATCATAATTATAATTATTAATTATTTTAACGAACTTTTCTTTTTCTCTCCCTTTTTCCCCTTTCTCTCCCTACAACGGCCAAATTGAACCCTAAACCATCTCAATCACCCATCCCATCTCCGTTTCCAATTTTCCTCTGCTGTTGATTTCAATCCTGAAAGCTTAGCCCCTGCAATTCTCAATCCTCATACTCTGTAGCATGGCCTGAGATTTGTGATAAAGGTTTTACTTTTGGGGCCGTTTTCTTTTTCCCGACGAGCCATTGTTTATTTTCCTGCAAATTGAGGAGGAAGGAGATTGGGGGACGGGGAGACAGAGATGGCGCACCCGGATTTACAGATGAACCCTCAGATGGAACAGATCCATGGCGAAATTCGCGACACAATTCGTGCCCTTGCGTAATTTTTCTCTCTCTCAATATATATATATATATATATATATATATATATCATTATCTTCTGCAAATCATAATGTGCAATTCGTTGCTTTTGAGTTGATTTATTGCTGTGTATCTGTGTTTTCCTAGATGTTATCAAGACAGAACCTTTCGTGATCTTCTCTCTGCTCTTATTCCTTAGACAACAGCGTCTTGAGTTGCTTTATATGGCTCATATTTGAATTTTACTCGTGTTTTGCATAATACTTTTTGTGCCCGCTTAATTGGGGATCTTCAGCGCCTGACTCAATTTCAAATGTCATTTATCATTTGGATTTGTATTAGATTGACAGTCAGAGTGGATGTTGATTTTTTTTTTTTTTTAAATACTTTTATGTTTTGTATGTGGTTTCAAGGGTGATTTATCCCTTATCAAAGTAATAGTTCATTATTTGTTAAGCGAGTTTCATGCTCTCGTTTTACTCTCTTAATTTCCGTTGACCAGCTGCTTTTGTTCTTCGGTGTATTCCTTTTCCACATTTAATATTCAATGAAATTGTGCTATTTCTTTGGTTTGAATAAAGGTAACTACCCACTTTATATTTAATGTTTCTAGTTTTTACATAACCACTGCTGCTATTTTTCTTTATTCCCTAATCAGAAATGGCTTCCAAAAGCTGGACAAAATTAAAGACTCGAATAGACAAAGTAAACAGCTTGAGGAGCTTACAGGGAAGATGCGAGAGTGTAAAAGGTAAGTGCGATATATACTGTGGTTTCCTCTTGTAACTGCTACAGCTGTGTTGTCTTATGGGGCGAGTTATATAACTATCACATGTAATGAAGGTTCCAGGAAGAAATTGAATCATGTACCACTAATTGTCCGTCATTAGAACGTTATAGAGGTTGCTTTTGAATTTATCAATCTGTACATGTTAATGATATCAGTTTATTTATTATACCATGATTCGGATTACAAGGACTAGTGGCATTTATCCATATTGGTTTCCTGATATACATCTCTTGTAACCTTGTTTACTCATGACTGATTTTGCTGTGAACTTTTCAGATTGATTAAAGAATTTGACCGTGAAATCAAAGACGAGGAAAGTAGAAATCCCCCAGAGGTGACCAAACAGCTTAATGATGAGAAACAATCCATGGTTAGTGTGTTGGGAACTTGAAATTGATTTTTATCTGACTCACATTTTTTTGTTGCCTTCCATATTGATTTGTTCTCGACCGATGTCAGTTTTTACGAGGGGTGGCAATGGCCGGCATGATACGAAACACAAACATGAATAGAAAACACGATTATCGAGACAAATGACATGATAGGCACAACAGGATATGAAATGACATGACATGACCAGAAACACATCACACAATAAAAAAACTTAATTAATTATCATATTATGTTGAAACAAAATAATAACACAAAAGCACGGTAGTGAGAAACTCTAACACGACACGATAACATGATTTGCTGCCCCTAGTTTTAGCGGAACAAAAATACTCATATTGCTTCTTAGTGTTTTGAAATGTTGGGGAATATTAATCTGTTTGCTACGAAGGTAATGAAAACTGTTGGCTGGAGGAAATAGAACTTTTAAGTATAGGTATCTTAATTCTTTGTTCTTGGCTTGAAATTGCACCCTCATTCTCCTGTTAGCTATCTCCGAAGTCCAAATCTTAAGATAGCTATACTTAAGTTTCGTTGCCTCGATATTATTCGGACATTATGAGCTAAGATTTAGTTTTTGGGGTTGGTAAAGTGCTGGAATAGGTGGTAAATAGCCAGCTCATTGTGGTCATGGCTTAATATGCCCACTTGGTGGCATGAGATTATCATAACATACGCAGTGGGCTTATGATTGAAAGACCACATGATCTCTATATGTGGCAAGTGGGTATGTTAAAATGCCAATGGTGTGTAGGTGAGCATTTAAGTACTAGTAGTCACAATTAGATTCTATGATATTTGCTATTTCATATGATATTTTCCGTTCCCATATGACAGGTATTCATCAGAAGTTGATTATTTTATTATTGTATCAGAATTTTGATGCCCTGAGAAACACCTATGCAAGCTGTAGATGTTTTTATGCTTTGATGGTTTACTTTAATCTGTTTTTCACTCTTTTTCTTCTGGTTGCTTTGTGCAGATAAAAGAGCTAAATTCATACGTAGCTTTGAGAAAGACGTAAGTTTATTTGTTTGTTTATAATTTCGAACCTGTGGTTGTTTGTATCTGTTGCACTCAGCACAAAGCTCACAGTTCAAATTCGTTTACTCAGTGTTTTTTAATACTGTTTTGAAAGAGCTATTAATCTCGTATTTTCTATGATATGTACGATACAGCTTCAATATCTTATAAGCTCGCATGTTAACAAGCTACATTATCAATAACTACCACCAATAAATAACAAACAAATATATGCATAGTTTTGACAGTTGTTGTGACCAACTGTTCTCTTTTGGTTATCTTCATATGGCTTTCCACATCTTCATTTTCGTCTCTCTCTCTCTCTCTCTCTCTCTCTCTCTTTTTTCCTACTTCTCTGCTGTTCATATTACTGGGCTGTCAGGTACATGAGCACTCTTGGGGGTAAAAGAGTTGAACTTTTTGATATGGGAACAGGTCCAAGTGAGCCAACAGCTGATGAGAATGTTCAAGTGGCATCAGGTGGAATTCCATACCAATCATTTCTTTATTATATTCCATTTTTTAACATGTGATAAATATATGGAAAATAAAAGTCACAGGCCACTGATATCTTGGTACCTGAATTTAGATACCTATTGGTTCGACTTATTTGTTCAGGATTTCTTATTTTTGCATGATTTGTCCAATTAAATTATCCCGTATCAATTATGCTTGATATTCTTTATACTCCAAATACTAAAATAAAGGCTATAGAGACAGTCATCATGAATAGCTTGTTGCTCCTACAACACTTCACATTGGATTTTCTTCATCCCTTTCAAATGAATTGTCTTGTTCTGCCAGTTGAAAATATAAATTGGTTCTTTGTATCTCGTTTAATACATGTAACAGTAGGGCCTGAAAACAGGCACCGTATTTTTCAATCTCTATTACCAATGTGACATTAATTTATACGAGGTTGTAGTTTTGTCTGGTAGACCTTTTCCACATTTTGCAGCTTGCTAATTATTTATATAATTTTTTTTATTTATCTTTGTAAATAAATATAGAAATGTCGAATCAAGAGCTTATCAATGCTGGAACGAAGACGATGGATGAAACTGACCAAGCCATTGAACGCTCCAAACAGGTACAAAATAATATCTGTGCATTCTCGAAATTTATTTTCCGGATGAGTGTCCTTAACTCTGTTGTTTATAGGTTGTTCACCAAACGATTGAAGTGGGAACACAAACTGCAACTACTTTGAAGGGCCAAGTATGCACTCCCTCTTCTGTTGCAAAATGCTAATTATATTGTCTTAATGGTATTTGGTTGCCTGACCTCTGACACCTTACCTTCAATGGGTACAGACTGAACAAATGGGCCGCGTGGTAAATGAACTGGACACTATCCAGTTTTCCATAAAAAAAGCATCTCAGCTCGTAAAGGAGATTGGTAGACAGGTAAATAAATTAGTCATGCGACTTCATTGTATTTATTTTATTTTGTTTATTTTTTTGGCGAAAATGAAGTTCTGTGTGTATTTTCCAGGTGGCTACTGATAAATGCATTATGCTTTTTCTCTTTCTGATTGTGTGTGGAGTTATTGCCATTATTGTCGTGAAGGTATCTTCTTCTTGCCATGATGTGTTGCTTTTCTTTCAAAATTGCATTTTTCTTTTAACATCCTATGTTCGACACTAGTGGCAACTTGATGGGTTTCTAATATTTTGTGCATGCTATAGATCGTGAATCCCAACAATCGAGACATTCGGGATATTCCTGGACTAGCTCCACCAGCTCCTACAACAAGGAGATTGTTGTATGTAAGAAAAGCACAAGGGGACGGTACTTTTTAACTGAGTTGGTCGTTTTCAGATCATCATAAGGGTCACCGTGTGGTCCAATTTTCATGAAGAGGCTTCAGTTAACGAACAAACATATGCGGAAATTGATATCCTCTGTGTTGTGTTGGTGTTAATTCTTTTTCATTATCTGGGTTTGTCATTGAGTTGTGTTCATATTTGTGTTTCATTTTATGTAAAAAGAGNGTGAATGGCTTTGTTCATCATTTGAACTGTTAGGAATCGCACGTCACTCGGGAACTAAAACGAATACTCCCTTATCATTTTGCGGCCGGTGTACTTATGTAAAAGTGGCATCCTGTATCAATATTTGATTTCATCTTGTGAATATCTTATTTCCTGGTGTCCCGCAATTTGTTTGGTTTTACCAAATCATTACTAGTTTTGTTGTGTTGTGGCAAGTGTCTTGGCATGTTCACATTTTCTTGTAGCAAATAATTCTGTTTTGGGTTTTCCATACATAACTAGTACGGTTACCCGTGTCAATGCATGGGAGTTACGCAAGTAAAAATGTAAATTGTATTTTCATATAAAGGGATGATTACACATTATTGAACATTTTCTTCTATACAATGTTCTTTGTCTGCGAGCTGTTTTCATCGTTCATGGCTTTTTTTAATCGTCATCGCATAAGAAATCATTAAGGGAAAATTTCGTATTTGGAACTTGAAAAGAATTCTAACACTTGACGGAGTCAAACTCATTCTAGGTATAAGAATTTAATCTCCACTGTCCGAACCCGTTAAAACTCTGCATTGCACACGACTATCAAACCTCGTTATAAACAAACGTGTACGTTACACAAACTATTTGAGTGATCAACGTTCCTTATCAACATTACTAGAGTGTCCACTTTCAAATGTTGTTCGTGGTTCATAACTCTAGAACATTTATTGTTCAAGAATTTCGTAGTCTGCAGATCATGTAAAAAGTAACACCACCATCTGATTTCGATGTCGTGTCACAACTAAGAAACGTATGTCCATCTGATGTATTTAAAGAAGTCATATACTCGTTTATTGATTCAACAACTTCAAATGTTGGTGTCAGTATTGTTCGATCCTTCAAATAGCTAGGATCATCAACTACATCTTTAAACATGAGATACGTATGACGCACAATCGTCTCAATCGGATCACCACCGCATTTAAGCAAAATATCAGACAAAATATATAAGTTAGCACGTCCACCAGTTGATTCTCGAATGGTCCATCACCGATGTTCCAATCCATTTAGAGAAAGTAAGCATATCATTATATTCATGTGGATCACTTGCATTCTTTGTCAGTTTTAAAACCTTTTTATATTCCCAAAGAGAAAAGGAGTTTATTGTAGCATTGACAATGTCTTGTTGTGTTCCTTTAGGCACAACATGTAATATCAGCAAAAAATCTCTACAAAACAAACAATTTGACCACCAAAAGGTTTTGTAGCATTAGATGGATCACTGACCTGCATAATCGACCTTAAAGTCTTATCGGCGACCATAAAGTCCTTATTTACCATTGGCGCCTCGTCCCATCTCCTGTTTTGTTGGACATCTAGCTACATGTAGACTGAAATATGCGCGAGAACATTACAAAATATCATTACAAAATAAAATTCGAAATCAATTGCAAAAAATTTATTTACATAACTACCACAATACTACAATAGAATTGATTTCTCAACAGTAACAACAAATCCCTTCAGTATCTGTTCAATTCGTAACGAGCCATATAACAAAATCATCTATTCAAGGAGTTCAAAAATACCTTTGATTTTATCAATAACCGCACTGAATCAGTTTTTAAAAATTCATATTGCGATTTACAATATCATAAAAATCTCATATAAAGTAATAGATTAGAAAGAAATTTAAAATATTTATAATATACATTATTGTAAATTATAAGAAAAAATAAAATAATACCGACGTATTTTAAAATTAATATTTTAACTTCAAAATAATATATATTACATTCTTTTTCAATTAAGTGTTGGTTATAATATTGTCACAATTTTTCAACTTTAGCAAAAAATATATTGTAATAAGATAGGGGTAAAAGAAGATGGAGAGAGAATATGTGTGTATTGTTTATTGATAATATTTGAATATGTTAAATTTTTCAGTATTCTTAATTATAAACAAGAACTTTAAAATGACAACTATTTTATAACGAGTGAAATAAACATATTACTCATATATTAAATTATTATATATCATAAAATAAAAGAAAAAAATAATATCAATAAACATTTTTAATAATTGTGTAACAATAAACAGTTTTAATAATTGTGTAATAACTTTAAAAAAAAAAAAAAGAAGCTAATTTGTGAAGTATTTTGTATTCAATTCAATTTTCACACGGAGTAACGTTTGACGCATCATAATTCTCAATATTTATTTTTATATTGCGATATAAATCTTCTATCATGAAATTCACCGAGAGTATAAATAAGTAAGTAGATCTATAGATGAGTATAAATAAGTAAGTAGATAAAATAACTGATAACGAATGAATTAGTATAAAACATTATATTTATGTGTAACACTGGTTTTTAATTTGACGATCTCTTTCAAAAAGTAAATTTAAGTTATTGATTAGAGATTCAGATAACTCAGAAATCAACTATCAATGTCAGTTCTTGAGATTTTTTATAAGGAAAAAAAGAAAAAGAAAAAGAAAAAAAATCACATAACCTAGTAAATTCCATGTTTTAAATAATGTACTTTACCGGTTGGTGTTACCGGTAATACCAGATAGTGGCGGTTCGACCGGTACGGTTAGGACTGCACACGAGTCGAGCGGCTCGCGAGCGCTCGAGTCAAAGCTCGGCTCGAGCTCGAGTTTGACCGAACTCGAGTCTAGCTCAAGCGGCTTGAGCATGAACTCGAGTCGAGCTCGAGCCCATTTTTACATTGCCGAGCGGCTCGCGATCGCTTGAGTCAAAGCTCGGCTCGAGCTCGAGTTTGACCGAACTCGAGTCGAGCTCGAGCCCATTTTTACATTGTCGAGCGGCTCGCGAGTGACTCGAGATATGTGGTAAATTACTAAAATACCATTCTATATATATGATTTGACAAAGATGTTTGAAAATTTTCGAACCGAACTCGAGCCGAGCTCGAGCATTTTCTAACCGAGGTNTTGTTATTAAATATTAATTAATTTAATATTAATTAAACTTTATTTTGTATATTATTTATATTACAATAATAAATTAATTTAATATTTATTGAAACCGATAAAACCGATTCACCGTTGGCTCACCCGATACGATTACCGGCACACTACTAAATTTATTGAAAACACATGCAGTCACGTATTATTTGTGAAAAAATATTTTCCAAAAAATATGAAAAATTCCTTAGATGAACCAGTCATCTCATTTCATTTATTTTTTTCTCTTTGCAACGGTCAACGGCCAAAATTGAACCCTAAACCATCCTATTTCACCCATCACCATCACCATCACCAATTATTCTCTTTTAATTACAGTCCTAAATATCTTCCCCTCTGACAATCTCAATCGCCATTACCGTTTCATTTTTCCTTCCCAAAATCCTGTCTTTTCTACAGCATTGCCTGAATTTCGGATAAGTTTTTTGTTTCTGGGCCTTTTATTATACTTTTTTTTCTTCATTTTTTTCGGCGAGCCATTTGAATTTTCTTGGAAACCTGAAGGAGAAAGGTGATAGCCGGTAAGAAGGATAAAGATGGCTGATCCGGGGTTACAGATGAACCCTCAGATGGAACAGATCCATGGCGAAATTCGCGATACAATCCGTGCCATTGCGTAATCTCTCTACCACTCTCTCCTTTCGGATATTAATGTCATGATCTCGTGTGCAATGCCGAAATGGAATTGCTTGATTTCGTGTTGATTTGTTGATGTCAGCTGTGTTTTGATGGATATGATCAAGGGACAACATTTTTTTTTTTTATCTTGTGTTTGTTTTCTTCTCTCCTCAAGGACAAGTAGCTTTTCAGCTCATGTATTTTTGTTGCTTTAGAGGGAAAATTTTCGAATTTCACATTTTTTTTACATAAGTTTATTTTTATGAAGGATGATGGATGACTCCTGCCCCTAGCTATGATTTGAATGTCCTTGATGATTTGGCTAAGCCTTAGATAAATAGTTCCTTGGCTGGAAGTTTTGTTTGTTTGGCTACGAAGATGCTTTTGAGCGAGCGTATTTGTGGTGGCGAAGAGAGTGATAATTGTATAGGAGATTCATTCTGTCAATTTGCTTTCTCGTGCTGTCCTTTTACCATCAGCTTCTATTTAATAATATATTCCTTTTTCAAATCTAGTATTTAAATAAATTGCATTTTATTTATTTGGGTTTGAATTGTGCAAAACTAGGTACAACATTTCTGACCTTCTGTTTCGTATACTAAGTTGTAAATATTTCTACTGACTAGGATGTAAATTGGGCATGATTTTTTTAGGTGATATAAGCTTATCTTTTTGTTTTGTTAATTTCCAACCAGAAATGGCTTTCAAAAGCTGGACAAAATCAAAGACTCGAATAGACAAAGTAAACAGCTTGAAGATCTTACAGGGAAGATGCGGGAATGTAAAAGGTAATTGTCTGTGTGTTGTGGAATCATGTCGTCTTATATGGAATGAGTTATAACTCTATCATGCATTAAAGACCATGAGAAGAAATTAAAACATGTACCGTCAATAATTTTCCACTAGAACATTGTATGGGTTAAATTTTCTGTTTATCAAACTTACCCGTCAATGTTATCGGTATTAGTTTATAATACCATATTTGGACTACTAGGACTTGTGTCATTTACATATGTTGATTTTCTGATCTGCATCTTTGGGACCTGTTTCACTCATTACTGATTTTTTGTGAACGTCAGATTGATTAAAGAATTTGATCTTGAAATTAAAGGTGAGGAAAGTAGAAATCCTCCGGAGGTGACCAAGCAGCTTAATGATGAGAAACAATCAATGGTAAGCACATCGGAACTTGAAAGTAGTTTATTTGACTCATTTGTCTATTGGCGACGACGTTGATTTGTTCTCAAGTCATGCAAGTTTTTGTTGATAAATCGTACTCGTAATGGTTAGTCAGTTTATCTAAAAACCCAAGAATATAGAAAATTAGTCTGTAGCTAGGGTGATGGCGATGATGATAATAATGATAATGTTATTCCACTCTTGACCTGAAGTTGCACATTCATTTTCCTGTAAGAACTTTTGAAGATTAAAGTACTTATAACTTAAAAGACAGCTCCTTGAGTATTATGATAGAGAAAATTTATCCAAAATGAAAGAATCAGTTACTGCAAATGCCAGGATAAAAAACGATGAGGAATCGCTCGCTACTACTAAGAAAGGAAAGAGATTAAATTCGAGATGCCAAGCTTCAGTGTCATAGGGTTTTATATATCATCTTATTTACTTATGATTGTAGTAGTTATATAGGAATCAGATCAATAGGATGGGTAGGAAAATTATTAGTCTCTGTTTGCCGTTTGGCTTGGCAGTTCATAGTAACTTAGAAGTTGAGTTATCTCTTTGGCTGCAATAGCATATTTTTATTATCCCTTGATAAAATTATTTTTGCATTTGTTTCCTGTCCCAATCATATTATGCACACACTATGAACCATATAGGTATAGTTTCTGGATGCTAGATTGCTGATGGGCTATGTATATAGTAGTATAGTCACAATTGGTTTGAATGATATTCATTCATCTATCTTTTACTTTACATACCGAATGGAATCCATCTGAAGTACACCGAACTCCTTGGTGCCCTGAGGAAGAACACCAATACATTGTAGCTGTTTTGTACTTATATTTTTCACTAATCCCTTTTTTTTTTTGGTTGCTTTGGCCTTGTGCAGATAAAAGAGTTGAACTCATATGTAGCGTTGAGAAAGACGTAAGTTCTTTCTTATAGTTTGTCTAAATTTTGCTGCCCGTGTGTTTGTATCAAATTCGTTTACTTATGAATGTGTTTGGTTAAACTGATTTCAAAGATCATATAAACTTGTATATGCTATAATATGTTGTTTGATATAACTAATATTTTATACGCTATCTAATATTCAGAAGCTGCTTTTTTTATATGATTCGCTGTAAATTACAAGCAAATTCTTTGCAAAATTGTGACAAAGTGTGAGAATTTTTCCTTATCGTTTGTTCTTACTTCTCTGTTGTTCATGTTATTGGGCTGTCAGGTACATGAACAATCTCGGGGGTAAGAGAGTCGAACTTTTTGACATGGAAAATGGTACTTATGACTCACAAGCTGATGAGAATGTTCGACTGGCATCAGGTGGTGTTTCATATCATTCGTTTCTTTTTTACATTTGATTTTTTGGATTTGATAAAAGGGAAAGAAAAATAACAAGACATTGCTATCCTGGGATACCTGAATATGGATACACATTAATCCCACACCCTTTTGTTTCATCTTTTGTGAGATGGTTTGTCTTATTTAATTTTTTTTTTCTTGAAATACTCAATCCTTGATGTTCTTTACTTCCACAACATAAATGGAAGATTAGACACCATCATAAATATCTTATTTCTCCCACAGAGCGACTTCACATGGAATTTATTCGAAATTCTCTCTCATTTCATCATTTAATATTAGAGCCTGTGATAGATAAAGTTGGATTTTTTTTTGGTGGGACCTTTTCACCTTTACAGCTTGCTAATTTTTCTTAAATAAATTTAGAAATGTCAAACCAGGAGCTTATTGATACTGGAATGAAGACGATGGATGAAACTGACCAAGCCATCGAACGCTCCAAACAGGTACAAGATAGAATTTTACGTACATTCTCGAAAATTATGTCCAGGCTGATGGTTTTCTAAAAACCCAGTGTTGTTCATAGGTCGTTCACCAAACTATTGAAGTGGGAACTCAAACTGCAGCTACTTTGAAAGGCCAAGTAAGTGCACACTTATCTTTTTATTGGCCTACGTGTGCTTAGTTGCCTTGACCACTAACATATACTTACTACCGTTACAGACTGAACAAATGGCCCGTTTGGTAGACGAGTTGGACAAAATCCAGTTTTCCATAAAAAGGGCATCAAAGCTTGTAAAGGAGATTGGTAGACAGGTAAATTCGTCTCTCTCTCTCTCTCTCTGTGTGTCTCTCTCTGTGGTATGTGAAAAAATAAATGTGTTTTCCAGGTGGCTACTGATAAGTGCATCATGCTTTTACTCTTTCTGATTGTGTGCGGAGTTATAGCCATAATTATTGTGAAGGTATTTTCCTCGTCCCATGATCGATCGTCTATTTTAGATTTATTTATTTGTACCTCTTTTCGCTTGTAATATTTACTTGCATTTATTATAGATTGTGAATCCTGGGAATGGAGACATAAGGGATATTCCTGGGCTAGCTCCACCAGTTCCATCAAGGAGGTTGTTGTTTGTAAGAGAAGAGAAGCATAATTTGGACAATACTTTATGAGGAAATTGTTCGTCTCTGGGCTTAATTTTTGTTGTGGTGTTAATTTTTTAATCTGCCTTGATTTGGTGGTAATTCTTATTTCTTATCACCATGTAAACCGTTTTACGGTTTGAGAATATATGTGTTACTCGATAGAACAAAAATGTATACAGCCGCTGTGGTGTACCTATTGTAACAATGAGATATCCTGTATCACTAAATTTGATTGCATCTCGTGCGTGTCTTATTAGTTATTACCTTATTCTGCACTCTTATATTTTTTTTTTCCCCTCCGCCTGATGTTTAATTAAATTAATTGGATTCGCATCTGGAAACGTGCAATTTCAGTTGGGGAAAAAGTTTGAGATACTGTTTCCAGTATTGAAAATATTCTTCTCTATAGTGATGAAAAGAATTTAAAAAATAAAAATTGTGATAAATATTGGGATTATGATTAGAATTATCGAGTATTTTGGTTCACCTTATACATAGAACTCTTAAAATATTGCATAAGCTTATTTATTTAAAATTTGTAAATTGTAAATTTTGTTTGCAATTGTTATTTATTTATTAAATATTTCAGAGATTTTTTTGGTCAGGAAATATATAAATAAGCCAAGTTGTTTTGCATATTATTTGTGTATTTGCTTGTGCATGACTGCATCAGAGCTTCATGCAAAAACTACTAGACATTTAATAATTACAAGCGTAATTAATTTCCTCATACATACAAAATGAACAAGCTTAATTAATTTCCTCATACTTGCAAATTACTAAAATGCCACTAATCACTCTCTCAAACTAATGTGGCAACAGGCAACCAGATATGTTTTCATCATAAATATTTATGAACATTGAGAGCAATTAAGTGTCAGAAAAAATGTGACATTTTCGTGATCAATGGAAAGTTTTAGTTGTTATGCTCCTTTCTTAGACAAAATTGATATAAAATAGTCATTGTACTGAATTAAAATCCCATTGACAAAATTGGAACCATAGAAGTTATAATATACTTATTGCATCTTTTCTTTAACAAATAAAGATAATACTAGTATGACACTCGTGTACTACACGAGTTGTTTGAAAAAGATATATAAAATATAAAATAATAGAAAAAAACACATGTTGTTGTATAACTATTTCAACTCTTTAAAATATATTAGAAAGATCATGTAATATTCTATAACTATTTCAATGTATTTGTATAGATATTCTAAAAAAATTTAAATAATTTATTTACCATGGTGTTCATCAAAATTTATTTTATTTATATTAAAAAGATCACGTAATATTCTATCACTATTTCAATGTATTTTTTATCGATATTCTAAAAAGATTTAAATAATTTATTTGGATTGAAAAGATATAATATATAAGTGGCTATATATTTTTTTGTAAAATTATAGTATTTTTTAATTTAAACTAAATAAAAAAATTATTGTTTACATTAATTATATAAATAAAATAATATATAAAGCTAAATTTTTTATTTTGATTTACACCATATAAAATAATATATAAAGCTAAATAAAAGGTATTTTTTTAAGATGTAATGTTGACAAATAAGCTTTATAAGATAAGAATTTTGTTTAGTTTGGAGTTGGAGGATTTACACGGCATATAACAATCCTATTTATTTGGGAGTTGGAGGGATCGGATTAAGCAAAATTTCTATTTATTAAGCATTTTATTTTAAACAATTAGGGAATGTATCCGAACCAAAAGCCCAAACATGTAATGTTGCCAAGTAAGCTTGTGAGGCAGCCATTTAGGCTCATCACGTTTTCAAATTATATTAAGAGGGGATATATAATATGTATCTTAATTATATACACTTGTGCATTAGCTAATTTGTCAAATAAATTGTTTAGCCTAATCATTAAAACTTTTTTGCCTTTTTGTTTCTCAGAAAAGGTAAAACACAACTAGACAAAATATCGAATTACAACGATAGGTTGCTTGGTAGACATATTTGTCCAACAAATTTACATACTTTCACACTCAAATATCATAATTAATTAAAAGACAATATAAATAAAATATCAATTTCATGGTATAAGTATGTATATATAAAATATAATTGTCTAACGATTAGGCAGTTTAACGGCAACATTTGTGTGAGGAGCGGTTCTACATTGAAAAGTTTTTTCAAGGATGTGTGTGTATACACACACACACACACACACACACACACACACACACATATATATATATATATATATATATATATTCTATATTAAACTTAATTTTTTTGTTTTAAAAAAAATCATGTAAGTCTTTCTACTCTTTATTTTTAACTACAATTCTTGTGAGTCACCTATAAATAGCCTTGATATTATTCATATTTTTTATTTTTATTCTATGATATATGTAAAGCAAATTTGATAAACTAAAGCACCTTGCAATTTGTTGTGGTTGAGGAAAATATCATATATATTAAAAGAAAATGAGGGTTAATTTTGGTTTTATCTTTCCATATTTAAACTTTATGAGCTCAATATTAATAGGTTTCATGACTTCAAAAAAAAACTTCACAATCCTAGTTGTATGTGGTTTAAAGCGTATACATTGGTATGATGGAATAAAATTTCGTAAGAATTGAATTAATTGAAGAATGGAATGATTATGAGAATGGAATGAAACATGTTTTGTCATTGATACGTTTAGTATGCAGAAGGAATAAGACTGGAATAGGATGACATTATCATTTTTTATTATAGAATAAATAAAAGCTTTTTTTAAAAAATAATATATTTTTAATAAATTATATATAAATATTTTTTTAATAATATATAAAAATAAAGTAATATATGTTAATAATATATAAAAATAAAATAATATAATTTTAAATTATATATAAATGCTTTTTTTAGTTTTATTTTATATAAGTATTTAATATATCTAATTAAAGAATAAATAAAAGATAATATATTTTTAATAATATTTAAAAATAAAAAGTAATATATTTTTAATAATATATGTTTTATTTTTTAATTAAAAATAAATAAAAGTAATTTTTCAATTTTTTATTTAAATTTTTTATTTAAATAATTTTATTTAATATATTTTAATCATGATTTATAATTTATAATATATGTTTATTTTTTATTATTATATGTTAATTTTATTTTTTAAAAAATTGATTCCTACACACGTGGGAATGAGAAAACCTTCCATTTACTATGGAATGGCTTACCCCATGGATATGGGTTTTGACATTCCCATTAAAATGGTCATTCTTTCTCAAAAAATATATCAATCATTGGATAAAAAATGAGTAAGGGAATGATCATTCTATTCCCATGTCATTCCTTCCTACCAATAATGTCATTATATTATATGTGTGACATTATTTGAAAATAACATTGCTCCCATCAATATATTTTTTAATCCGCCCCTGATTTGTGTACAACTTCAATCTTATTACATATATCATTAGTTCCATGCATATAAAGCATAATATAAAAAGGAAAATAAGCATAGGCACTTGTCAGTAAAAAACTAAATATTTCATTCGTACTGATATGTATCGTTTTAGCTCCCAAATAAATTGATGTGTTAAGAATTCAATTATTCAAGACATAAAGTATCCAATTATCCATAATCTCTCAGCTCACATATTATAAGAACTCTAAATATTAATACGTGTCAACAAAATAATGAATTAATTGTCAATAACTCCACTCACATTTCTTACCTGAAATTTGATCACAGCAACTTAGATTAGAGAGGAAAAGAAAAAATAAATAAATAAATAAATAAAAATTCAGGAAAAGGACCGAAAAAAGTGGGGAAAAGCCAAAGGCCCAAAAGATGGAAAAAGGTAGATGGAAATAAAGTCGAAATGACTAAGTACTTGTTTGGGAGCACTTCTAAAAAAGTCCATTTAAGATATGGACTTATCCAAAATGAATTTCTCCAAAAGTCTGCATTATTTACTTTTACAGAATAGACATTTTGGAAAAACAACTTATTCATAAGTCCATTGTTAATTTAGCACCAAACATAAATATTTATCCAAATAGACTTTTGCATCCAAAAGTCCATTTAAAAAATGTTTCTAAACAAGCTCTAAATTTGTAAGGACGCAACTAATAATATCTTCTCGACGGTTAACTAACTCTACGGGACAAATTACTCCGTGAAACTGTATAATCATTAGACAAGTCGATTTATAACATTTTCAACAAAGATGTATATTTATACTATAAAATATCATGCTTATTTTGAGTTGTCTTTTATAATATGACATTTTAGTTTTCAACTTAAAAATAATAAGTATATGATGACGACAAGATTGCATTAGCATATCTCGACAAATATGATTAACTCGTTTCATTAGTTTGAATATTATTCTATTTTTTTTATTATTATTTATATTTATGTGTGTATTTATTTATGTTGTGTGTTGGGCTTGTTTTAGTTTGGGGTTTTAAGTTTATGCAGGATGAATATTATAAATAACTGTACAAACAAACACTTCTCTGGCAGTTTTTATCAGATTTGAATGAAGAAATAATTGTTCTGTGTTCTGTGTTCTGTGTTCTTCAAGAACTTCCCCATCATATGCTACCCCCTGCATCATTTGGTATCAGTTAACCGGGATGATTCTCAATGCCGCCGCGACGTTGAGATGCCGAAATTGACGATCGTTTTCATCGTATGGACGATCGGATGCAATTGATGGATACTCGGGTTGCAGATTTATCTACTGGAATCGATGAAATTCGTCTTTCTCTCAATACCATGATCGGAGAGTGACAGTTGAACCGCGATGGGGGCCGTGACTATCGCGGGGGTGGCAGATGTGGTCGTGGAGGATGCGGGTTTGGCGGGGCCGCGACAACCGTCCCCACACACTCTGAATGGCAGTGATGACGATGGTTCGACTTGATCGGAAAATCCATTTGCAGACACACCACCACGGCGTGGAGGCGAAGCCTTCGGTCATCGCCGATTTCCCGAGCAGCAGCGTCCTATTGGCGGTTTTGCACCTGATGGCGACGAAACCCTAGGTCCCGACCGAAATTGGGACCAGCGGCGACCCGACGTTGGGTTTGCGCCGGTTGGAGACCGCGACGGTCGGCGAGATGACGTCAGTTTCGGCGAGGGTTTTCGCCATCCTCTGTCTCCCACGCGACGTGCAGCGGGTGATTTTCGAGACGCCAGCTTTCCCTTTCAGCATCACAAGGGCGGGCGTCGAGATTTCCAACGGCGGGCTGAGATGCGACGTGTCCTGGGTGATGTTGGCGGCGAGTTCCGCCGTGCCGCGACTGAGGATGTTGCCGGTCATCGATGGTGGGCGGCGGGGCGACCTAGGGCTGAGGAGTTGGGCAGCGATTTTGGGGAAAATCGTGAATTTCAATTTCCTAGCTGTGTGCGTGCTTGTGATGACGATAGAGGGTTTGGCAGATTTATTAATTCTGCTCCAAATTTCCAAGACCCATATGATGACTTCAATGGGCCTGGGCATGAGGCCCATTTTCGGAGGCAAAGGGCTGAAGGGGATTCTAATAGTTGCTGGGAATCTTCTTTTTGCGTTGAAATTCTGAATTTCGTCGGGGGGTTGGATGCTAGTGAATTTCTTGATTGGTTAGCTTCCGTCGAGGTTGTCCTTGATTTTAAATGCGTATCAGTCGAGAGGCGAGTCGCACATGTGGTCACTTGACTTAGGGGACGTGCGGCCGCTTGGTGGTTACAGTTACAGGGTGTGCGGCATCGTCAGGGCAAACCGAAAATAATATCGTAGTTGAAATTCCGTAAGTATCTTGAACGAGAATTTTTACTGTTTAATTTTGTCCGTACTTTATATCAGCGTTTGCAAATCTTCGTCAAGGACAACGTAGTGTGAATTATTATACTGAGGAATTTTATAAACTCTGGGCCCGGGTAGATATTCGTGAAACTCATGAACAGTTGATTTCTCGTTATATTGGGGGATTGCGTGTCTTTATTCAGGATGTATTGAATATGTTTACACCGGCTTCCATTTCTGAGGCTCATCAACGGGCTTTATTGGTTGAGCAGCAGCAGTCCCGGAAGGTGAGCACTTCTTTTGCGCCGTCTACAAAGGAGCCTCTTGTTCGATTTGAGTGCTCCTTCTGAAGGCCGTGTGATTGGCCCCACGTTGGGGAGTGGCAATCGGCAGTCTAGTGGTCCGTGTTGTTTCACTTGTGGTGAGCCGGGACATTGCCAGGCATAGTGTCCGAAGGCGAGAGGGTCATAGACGTTGATTGTTGACGAGCCAGACTCGACTACTTACGATGGACCTCCAATTTTCGATCCAGAGCCAGAGGATCCTGAAGTGAGTCACGCGCTTGTCTTTCGTCGGTCTCTTTTGTCTCCCGATTTCTCTTTAAAGGATAAGGTTCAGCGGCACCACCTTTTTGAATCCACATGCATCATTAGCGGTTGGGTGTGCCGTTTTGTCATTGATTCCGGTTCCTGCGAGAATGTGATTTCGAACGAGGCTGTGACGAAACTGGGGTTGTTAAGTGAGCCACATCCGGATCCGTATGCTCTTGCGTGGATACAACATAATGATTCTATTCAAGAAATCAACGTGTGTTGGTGACCTTTTCTATCGGATCCTCTTATAAGGACATGACATGGTGTGACGTACAGCCTATGGATTCTTGGCACGTTTTATTAGGACGACCTTGGCAATTTGATCGTTCAGTGGTACATGATGGACGCCTCAACACATATAGCTTTTTATTTGAGGGCGTTCGCATAGTCCTGCATCCGTTGTCATCCAGTTCTGGTCCTTTGCCATCGCCGTCTCCGGTTTTATTCGTTTCTCGCATTGAGCAGTGTAGGGAGTTATCCGGCTCGGAGGATGGTCGCTCGATGGTCTTTGATGTAGGTGATTTTGTCGACGGGATCGTTCAGGACACCGACGAGATTGCAGATTCAAGGGCGAATCCTCTCCACTCGGGGGAGAATGATGCCGACAAGATTGCATTAGCATATCTCGACAAATATGATCGACTCATTTCATTAGTTTGAATATTATTGTATTTCTAATTATTATTATTTATATTTATGTGTGTAGTTATTTATGTTGTGTATTGGGTTTGTTTTAATTTGGGCTTTTAAGTCTATGTAGGATGAATATTATAAATAATTGTACGAACAACACTTGTCTGGCAGTTTTTATCAGATTTGAATGAAAAAATAAATTGTTCTATGTTCTGTGTTCTTCAAGAACTTCCCCATCATATGTATATTTATAGAAAAATATGGTGTCTAACTATTAGACATGCATAACAATCAACTAATGATTTTAGGTATGGATTTATTAGAATGTTAGTGAGCTTTAATTGCAACAATCAAATAATTTACTTAAAATAGTTTCTCCCCATACATATATATATAATTAATAATAATAACATTATGTTTTTACATATTTAGATTTTAAGTATCATGTGGCTTTTAAAACATTTTTATGTATGATATTTATATATCAAAATTATGCTTTTTTTTTTTAAAATCTTCAAATCAATATTAGTTGCAGTGGACAAGGATGTTGTCTTCTTCACCGTATGGATAAATTATCAAATTCCAAGATCTTAACAACCCAAATAATAATAATAATAATAATAATAATAAACTAATTACGTGGATAATCACAGTGTTAAAATTACGGCGAATCAATATTTTTAAAAGTGATATTGTATTTTATAAAGTTTTAAATTTGATAGATGTTTAACTCATTCTAGAATATGAAGCACTTTAAAATATCGAAGCACACTTAAATTAAAAAAATAATAATTCATATTATAACTGTATAACATAGGAGAGAATAAAGGTAGAAAATAAAACAAAAATAGGCGTGGTTGGTAGTTATATATATTTTATGTTTTAAATCTGGGCCAAGTTTGACTCATAGTTGTATGAATTTTTTTCTTGCAGATAAAAAAATAATAATAAAATATTCCAAATTTATTTATTTTTTGGTCAAAAAAAGAAAAAAAAGAACGAGGTATTCCAAATTTCAATTCACTCAATATTCTATGAGAGGGCACCATCAGTCTCTGTCTACATGTTCCCATAATCCACACACTCACTCCCACCACCTTCTCCTACACATGTTTCTAGTCTGTCCTAATTATTATATACATTATTGTTTACTTACCATTATTTATTAATTTAATCTATTTATATTTTGGCCCCATGTATATGTTCAACTGAAAAGCTTATGCAAATTTTCAAGTCAGACTTAGACCGGAGGTTTCAGATATGAGGGTCTTTGAATTGTGGCCTTCAGTTTGCATGTGGTATTTGATATCTGACTCGTGTGTTGACATTCGAATGGGTTTGCTAGAAGCACATAATGAATTAGTCTATCTGTAGGTCCATGTTATAGTTTTTTACTTGTTTTTCTTCCATTGTTAGAGTCCAAGGGTGTTTGGTTTTCTAGTCTTCTTTATGAAGTTTTTTGTCATCTACGGTAGGTAGGAGTGTTTGAGTGTTCTTGTTACTCTCCTTGATTGACTGTGTAATTCCAATAAAGATGTGGATCCAGACTTTATTCTGGGTCTGATGATGCGAGTTGACATCTAAATTGTATTTTCTTTTCGAGTTTTTAATATAATTATCATTTAATTAAAAAAATAGAAAAAAAAGTGAAATTGGTTGAGGAAATTTTTGCCCACACTATTATAAAAATCAAATATTATGGTTATGGTTATAATGTATCTAATTTATGATGTTTATATAGTCATTTATAAAGTATCACAAATTCCTACAACACAATCTAATTAGATGAGTTGATCTATTATATTCTTTATACTATTAAATAGCAACGCATCTATTTATATATTTTATTGAAAAAATATGATATTTTATAATGAATATATATATATGTGTGTGTGTGTATGTGTGTGCTCCAGTGATAATTATGCTTAGTGAAAGCAATAAGAATACATCATAGCCATTAAATCTGATCATCCAACGACTAACAAAAATCCAAAAGTTGACACTCATTAAAGGTATATGGACATTTTACACATCCACATCCACCAAACCTAATTCTATCAGTGGGCCCACTCCCCACGCACAGAGCACGTGCGCGTGCCTGCACACACCCACATTCAGCCCATCGCATCGACCTCGCATCGGCTCACCACTGCCGCCGCCTACAACCATTGTCGATCCCGCCATCACTTTCGGTCCGTTGTCGTCACGCTTTCTGCCCACAGCCCATTTCTATCTCGCAGCCCTGAATGACCATCGTCTACGCCACCGCCTGGTCCGGCGTCCGGAACTCTCGTCATTGTCGTCCTCCCTCCGTCGGCCACTCCCTGTCATGTCTCCGTCACCGCCTTCCTCCGTCGTATAGCCCAGCCGTCTGCAGGTGTAGATGATGAAGATCAACCCTGATCGATCACCTTCAGCGCTGTGGCCGTCTCTTCTTCCCATCGCAGTCACCCAACTCACAGTCCCTTCCCTCAGTTGCGGTCGCCTTTCTTTCGCCGACTGCCATCGAAGAAGACGACCTGCTATCGTCACTTACTAACATCGACCAGTCGGTTAGAGCTATGACTCAGCCTGAATCAACTTATAATTTCCTATTAAAATCGAAACCCAAATTGATGAACTCGATCACCAGCGAGGTTTTGGCGGGCAGAGAACGGTCGGGAGGTTTACCGATGGCAAGGATGGGGCTGAGGTGATGGGGACGGACGTGAATCAAGTTTGGATTTGGGGGCTTTTTTTAAAAAATTTGATATCTTCTAGGGACTTATTTGCAATTTCATGAATTTCAATATATTGCATTTTAGTTCATGAGTTCAATTTTTAATTTATAAAAATTTAATAGATGCACAATAATGTAATTTAAAACACCCAAAGTATGTGTATATGCACATTACAAATATCCTCTCTACAAGTTATACAATCTCTACAAGCTATACAATAGGGATATACAAACTGAAAATTTCGATCAAATTTGAAATAACCGAACTGAACAAACTAAATAAAAAATATTTTTTTTATATTCTTATATAAATATATTATTACTTTTCAACCAAAAAATATAAAATAATAAATAAAAAAATTAAAAATACTAAATATATTTTTATAATATAAATAATATTTTATTTAAGTTATTATAGTTAATTAAGTTAACCAACCAAATAAACATGTAATCTTGGTTCGATTTAGTTTGATTTCAGATAACTTTAACAAATGCACAATTCTACATTATGAATTTATAATGTAGAATGCACAATAGTGATAGGCCATATACACAATAATGTAAGAGATTGCATTTTAGCGTAGCGCAAATGACTAAAATAGCCCTGAAAAAAAAAATCAACTTTTCCCACGTTTTTCGGTTTTCACATTTAAATTTTCGGTATTTCCGTTCGATATCGACTTTATTTTTAAAATAATCAAAATATTCGTATCAGCCGAACTATGTAATNTCTTCCGATCTGGAGAAGAAATGAATGCACGTCCCAGCGCGTTAAAGGCAAATGAACTTATAATCAGTTTGGTTAATCATTATGCATTGTCAAACCTCAAACATTTGATGTATAAAATAAAACCGTAACATTGCTGTTGAATATGATTACTGGTTAAATCGTCAATACCAACGGATATAAATAAAAGTATAAACCTTTTATTAAAAACGTCACCACCTAAAGAGAGTTCTAATTTTGGGTCTAATTTTACTTACGTGGCATGTAAATAGACCTAAATCTTGGATGAGATGGACAAAAATATATGAATGAAAGCAACAAAATTCACCACAACGCAAAGAGACTAAGTCTATACTTAGATCTAAAATAGACTTAAGAGTAGACCATGTCTCTTTTTCTTGCTGCTACATCAGCAATACACAGTCCACTTGCAACTGCATTGGAGTATATATTTTTCTAAATTGAATCTATTTCCTATGTGGCTTGTATATTTTTTTGAATGAACTTAAATCATTGAGAATGCTCTAACTCATACAAAAATTTGTGAAAGAATAAAAATTAGGCACACACCAATGTATCTATACACAAATTTGTGAAATAATAAAAGTTAGGCACACACCAATGTATCTTCCGTGAAGACTGACTGATTCTGACTTCAACAACAACTAAATCATTGAGAATGCTCTAACTCATACACAAATTTGTGAAAGAAAGAAAAATTAGGCACACACCAATGTATCTATACACAAATTTGTGAAATAATAAAAGTTAGGCACACACCAATGTATCTTCCGTGAAGACGGACTGATTCTGACTTCAACAACATTCAGTTTCAGTTTTCCAAATTCAAGCTACAGTGTGAGTTTAAAACTTTAAATATGTAATGACACAATCCGAAAATTCTGCCGAATTTATTGTTTGTTTTTTTCACCGCTTCTTTATTTTTATCCCTGGTGAAGTTGAACAATAATTGAGGTACGAACCAGTAAAGTTTCAAAACGTGGCCACCAAAATTTCTGGTTTTGCACCCACCTTCCCACAAAGATTCTTTCTTGATTACAGGATAAAGTTGTTTCTGTTTCGTTAAATCATGTGCCGTTGTGCAAAATAAATTACAAAGTGCAATTCTACAATAACCATCACCACCATCATCATCGGTTAAAAGAAAAAAAAAAAGACAAAAGAAACTCTGGCAGCCATGGCTCACTGTAAAAATTTCGCAGATCAACTTTTACAGCGAAGTGAACTTGGGACTATACTACACGATAGATTCCTTGAAGTGGGCAATAATTAAGTTGATATAATATGCCACTTGCAAATCTGTACTACGTTTTCGTTTCTTTCTGCCCTTTTTGTTATTTATTATTCCTTTTCTTGTGCTGTTGTGTACGATGTTTTCTGGTTTTATCAAAAGCAACCGTAACAATATTCAGGCCCATTTCGTTTTCCTTCTTAGCTTTTCCTTCCGTTTTGGCCTTGCATCTTTTTGGGTTGGTACAAAACCCGTGTCCAAATATTCTCTCTCTCCCATCTGATGCTTAATCGCCGGCGGCGATCTCTCCCGTAATCAGATCGATTCTCAGTTCCATCTCGGCTCTTGTCTGAAGAAAAAAAAAAAACTACCTTTGTTCTTCGGATCAAAGGTTGAATCTTTTGGTCGATTGAGAAGCGTGGCTGACTTGAGCTCTGTTCGGCAGTGGCTCCAACTATTAATCGAAGCTGTTTGTGGTGATGGGTGTGTCGGTGGGCTTTTCTTTGTTTTCAGGTGTTGTTGTGAGGCCGATTGAGGAGTGATTGTTTCAATGTACTGTTGTTTGAGAATACTTTGAATAAGGCTTGTTCTTCTCTCTCTATCTCTCTATTTTTTTTTTCTCAATTTTGTGTGTATTTCAAATTCACATGATATGGAGACCAAGTTTGATGGGAAATTGCATCACTTCTTTGGTCCTGTTGTCTCTGATTTGGGGAAAAGGAGTCTGGAATGGGATTTAAACGAGTGGAGATGGGATGGTGATTTGTTTTTGGCTGCACCTCTTAATTCTGGGCCGTTGGATTGTAAGAGCAGGCAGCTCTTTCCCATAGGATCGAACAATGGGCCATGCCCGGAAGAACTGATGCCGAGCCCTGAGCAGGAGGATAGGGATTCAGAGAAAAAGAAGAGTATTTTCGATTTCGAAAATGAAGAGGCCAGTGGATCCCTGAATCTGAAGCTTGGGGGACAAGTTTGTCCAGTCATGGAAGGGAAGCTTCCAGATGATGACACCCTATTGCAGGGTAAGAGCAGTAAAAAGCCGAAAGTTGTGGGCGCCGTTTGTCAAGTTGAGGACTGCAAAGCAGATTTGAGCAGTGCAAAGGATTATCACCGGCGGCATAAAGTGTGTGATGTACATTCTAAGGCTACATGTGCTTTAGTAGGCAATGTTATGCAGAGGTTTTGCCAGCAGTGTAGCAGGTCATTATTTTTATTTTAATGTTTTAAAATAAAATATCTAGCATGATTTATCCTTGCAGTGCCGTGTTTTTTCATCGTAACTGGTGATTAACAAGACTGCCACTGATTGGTATCATTTGTATTTGAAGGTTTCATGTTCTAAAAGAGTTTGATGAAGGCAAGAGGAGTTGCCGTAGGCGTCTAGCAGGACATAACAAACGGAGGAGAAAAACGCACCCAGAGAATGTAGTGAATGCTGTCAATAACAATGACGAGCAGGGTAGTAATTACTTATTATTCAGCCTGCTAAGGATACTATCCAGTATACACTGTAAGCATCTAAGCTGATTTTGTTCTTTAGCTGTTGAACGGCATTTTTTCTGAGGGATAAATTGATGTATCGTGAGTTTATGCGTGTACCACAGTTTTTTAGCATCCAGTGCTTATTTAATTGGTATATACAATGTTTGGCATTACCTCATTCTGACTTAAAGTTTAATCAGGTTCTCTCATTGTTTATGAATAATGGATACTCTGGTGTCATAGATATAGTGTAGCGAAACCTAGATAATTACAAATATATCTCCCTATTCTTCATGGGAAATTGCGTGAGACTGGAAATCTTATGTAATCATTATATAATTGGTAAATGGTGTTATTTTTTTTTATTTTTATTTTTTTTTTTGGGGAAATATGTCTAATTATATGTTCATTTCTTATTCTTCCACCAAATTCTGTTTGTCTCTTTGCTGCTTTAATTGTTTTTTCTCTTTTGTACCTTTTGCATATTCCCATGATTTATGGGGTTCTTATTGCGCAGTTTTTCCTATTTGTCATTTGCAGCCAATAGCTCTGATCAATCAAAAGATCAGGATCTGCTGTCTCATCTTTTAAGTAACCTTGCAAATCTTACTGGTGCAACTATCGGCGGTAATAATGGTGGATTCCCTGTATCTCAGGACTTGCAAAACACAGGAACTCATTTGGGGCCCGGTCCAAAGGTGCCAACACAATTAACAAAATTCTAAATCAGTCTTAATAATATTGAAATCATCTTCAGATTTCCTCTCATCTGCAGGATCTTTGTACGCCTACTGGGCCTGTTGTGTCAATACCTACTTCTGATTCGAAACAAAAACGACTTTCAACCAAGGAACATGCGGCTTATGCTACAGTAGGAAAAACGAAACTGAATAACATTGACTTAAATGATGCGTATGATGATTCTCAAGACTGCGCAGAAGAGCTTACAAATGCCTATGCACCAGAAAATGTTGTTAACATGCCTTGTACGGGCCCTTTATGGTTGTATAAGGATTCTCAACAATCGAGTCCACCTCAGATTAGTAGGAATTCGGGTTCCACATTTAGCCAGTCACCTTCTACATCCAGTGGAGAGACACAGGTCCCAACTCATCTTTTATGGGTTTTTACTTTTTAGAGAAAAGAATAAGAAAGTCAGAGTTGTATTTTTGGTTTAAATTGGGGTTTTTATGTAGCAGATGGGATTTGCATTTGATTGGACTGTGTGCTTTTAGGATTATAACAGGTTTCGGTACTAAATATATTGCTCATTACATGTGAACATGAATTTCAATTTGATATGCAGAGTCGGACTGATCGTATTGTCTTCAAACTATTCGGGAAAGTTCCTAGCGATTTTCCTCTGGTCTTGCGGAAACAGGTAGGCTTTTTTTCTTTGGAAATAAAAAAATTCCCATTGTTTTTTTTATTATTATTATTATTAATCTTCATGCATCTTGTCATAGAAGAAGATCTAATTCTCTGAAAATGGATTTCAGATTCTTGATTGGCTGTCTAATAGTCCTACTGATGTAGAAAGCTACATTCGCCCTGGTTGCATTATACTGACTATATATATACACATGGATATATCCAGCTGGGATGAGGTGAGTTTGATATCACACAACGAATAGAAATGTAGTTATATCAAGTTTCTGCTTATACTTGAATTATGCAATCTGATGTCGATAAACTGTGTACATTTGTATCTGCTACAAAACTTCAGTTTCTTAATTGGATTATGCTCATAAATTGTAGCTTTGTTTATCTTCCCTTGCTTGCAGCTTTATTGTGATTTAGCATCCAGTTTGAGGAGGCTTCTCGATTCATCTACCGATCCATTCTGGAAAACGGGGTGGATATATACTCGAGTACAACATCATGTCACATTTCTGTATAATGGTATATTCAATCTTCCCCTTTCTTTTGTCACCTTTCTACTTGTCATCCATTTTTTTTTTTTTTTTGGTGATGAGAAAGTTGACGATTTTTGTCATGAGTGCAGGCCAGCTTGTATTAGACACGCCCTTACCTTTGAAACACAATAGAAACTGCAGAATATCAAGTATAAAGCCAATTGCTGTTACAGTTTCCGAGTCTGCTCAGTTTTCAGTCAAAGGATTCTATTTATCTTGTTCTACCTTGAGGTATTCTTTGGTTTGGTTTAACAACAACATGTTCTTTCACGATACACTCAGTAAAACAAAGAGTCTGATCAAGTTTTAACCAGCTGTTTATCTCTCTAGGTTTCTGTGCACATTGGAAGGAAATTATCTAGTTGAGGAAAATTTTGCGGATACAACTAAGGAATCAGATTCTTTCGAGGAGCATGACGGGTTGCAGTCCTTTAGTTTCTCTTGCGTTATACCAGATATAGTTGGAAGAGGATTTATTGAGGTGNTACCAAAAAAAAAAAAAAAAAAAAAAAAAAAGAAAAGAAAAAAAAAATTGTTTAGTTTTAATGGTCTCACTCAAACGAACATATTTTAGGTCGAAGACCATGGTCTGAACAGCAGCTTCTTCCCATTCATCGTGGCTGAAAAGGACTTATGCACTGAAATTTGTAGTCTTGAATCAATATTTGAGGGTGATGAATCTACTGAGGAACCAGATATTATTAGAAATCAAGCTTTGGAGTTTATACACGAAATGGGTTGGCTTCTCCACAGAAACCGACTAAAGTATCGGTTATCAGGTCAAACCATAAGCGGCAGTGACCAGAAATCGTTCTCATTCGAACGCTTCAGATGGTTAGTCGAGTTCTCAGTCGATCACGACTGGTGTGCAGTTGTCAGAAAGCTCTTGAATATTCTATTTGATGGCACTGTAGATTTAGGACAAAAGGATTCAAATAATTTACAAAGGCTGCTGGAGATCGGCCTTCTCCACCGAGCCGTGAGGAGAAAATGCAGGCGTATGGTGAAATTTCTTTTGAGTTACTGCCTGAGTGAAGTTTTGGGCCTGAATAACCACTATTTGTTCAGGCCCGATGCAGTTGGGCCCGGTGGATTGACTCCTCTTCATATAGCCGCCTGTCTTGATAACTGCGAGAGTGTAGTTGATGCATTGACCGAAGATCTCGGAAACGTATGCTCGTTTATCTCTTTTCTTTCATTTTATATATATATTTTTTTTTCATTTTATATTTTGGAGACATGGTTTTGCTACTCAAACCTTCTCTTTTGTCTTCCCTCAGGTGGGAATTAAAGCATGGAAAACTACTAAAGACAGCACTGGACTAACGCCTCACGACTATGCAAGCTTGCGCGGCCATCACTCGTACAACAATCTCGTTGATAAGAAACTCAACAACAAATCGGAAAAAGAACACGTCATTGTAGACATATTCGATATAGACAGCCAGAAAAAAACCGAGAAGGCAAGTAAATTTGGTGCAGCCTTGGAATGCGAGAACAAGAATGCGATGATGAGTTGGCACAAGAAAGAGTGTGGACCATGCAGGGCCAAGAGGCTGTGGTTTAGCCAAGGCAAGTGCTCAATAGCATCATCAAAGTCCTCGGTTAGGTTATACAGGCCGGCAATGGTGTCGATGGTGGCCATTGCTGCGGTTTGCGTGTGCACGGCTTTGCTTTTCAAGAGCTCGCCTCACGTGTTCTGTGTGCTCCTCCCCTTCAGGTGGGAGCTACTCAAGTACGGGTCCCAGTAGGACGATTGCCGCGTGTATATTTCATAGTTAATAATTTTGCGTGCGATGTTCGGGTCGAGTTAGGGGATGATCGTTAGTTGTGTTTTATGTGTTGTGTATTTGTTGTACTTTATGTTTTTAATCATAATACTAGGGAGTTGTACGTGTGATACACGAGATATTTCATAACCATTCTTGCGATTTTTTATCCTGCTTTTGTGGTAGATTTTTATTTTAGATTTTATAAAAAACGCACAAATGTATAAACAAGGAAGAATGAAAGTTAAAAAGTCAACTAAAAATGGGATGATAGATCTGAAGATCGTCTATAACCTAAACTAACAACACTAGAAAACGCACACACAAAATGACAAACAACTATAAATCTTCAATAATGGAGAATCCCCGATCTCACCGGGATAATATACACACCCAACCGGGAGAAAATATAACCCAAAACACAAACAAACACACCTAAAGAATTAAACAAAAAACAAAGGACCTTCCCGCAACAGTCACACCATGCCCATCACGAAGCACTAGCAGAACCCACAGCCGACCACCTCAACATCACAGCTCGAGAAATCGCTCCCAAAATTGCCTAAACGCCTAACAGAAGCCAAAAACCGCGACCTTGAACCACTCCAAGTAGACGACCCCTACTCACAGCCGGAGAAACAACAACCTCACCCCTACACCACCACCGCCCTAAACCCGGTCAACCACTAGCCAAGATTCGACAGCGGAGCCACCAATCAAACCCCACACCAGGGAAAAAGGAGTACAGAGAGCAAGAGCCACCGCTCCTCAGCCCTGTTCGACCCACTGCAAGCAGCCAAGGCCACACCATGCCTACACTGCAGGTACAACTAGTAAATTTTCACAATTACCCTAGAATTTGGGGTACTTTTGGTATAAGGACAAAATATTCTGCATATCTAGGTAGAAGTAGAATATAGTTTGACTATGTCGATTATCAAATGGCCATACTTGTTGATATTAAGTCTGTGGAACATTTTAAAGGGTGCAAACACCCTATGAGACTGCATACATTTGTTGGTGGTGGGAGTTCCATTTTACTGTCAATAAAGAGTGATCTTCGGAGTTTGTGGCAAAGATAAATCAATAGCATTAGGGTGGTTAGTTTGTTTATTAAAGAACGAAGTGAAAATTCTGAAATTGTTAATGCAAACGAAGTTGTAAAGGAGGTTGATGAAGAAGATGGTGATTAGACTTTTGAGTTAGAGTATGATAGTGAAGTTGATAAGCTGGATGACATCTTGTTTGATGGAAATGTGAATTTTGAGGCTGATGGTGAGGTTGGTGGTGAGGGTGAGGCGGAGGATAAGGTTGAGGCTGAGGAGGTGATTAATGTATCTTTTTTTATCAAATTGTCAAGTACATGTTTTCTTTTTCGTGAGTGACAACAGAATGTCACATTTGTTGAAAACGTTCTTTTTCGACCAAATTGCTAAGTACATGTTTTCTTTTTCGTGATTGACAGTATAATGTTTCGTTTGTTGAAAATGTCCAACTTAGTGTATTATTTTTTAAATTTTGCCTCCATCATATGTGCATGTGCACAAGATGTACTGTTTATAGTTTGGATTTTTTTTTTTTTTNTTCCGTAATTTTAACCATTTTCACGTAAACTTACACCACGCAAAACAAAAGTAATTGCATTTTCAAAGATCTTACAGCAAGGATATTCTTGCAATTTCAACATAATAAAGGGACCACTTTTAATATTTTCCAATAACCGGAAAGCAAAAAATCATTTGATTGATGAATGAATCTGTGAACTCGGGTACATCATCGGAGATGACGGCAGGCAATGGTCTGGCACCGAGCGTCGGCGGCGGCGGCTCTCAGGCGTACGGCGAGGCATGGTACTGGGACAACCGCTACTCGCAGGACTCCTCCACCTTCGACTGGTATCAGAAATACCCCTCCCTCGCCCCCCTCATCCGCCTCTACGTTCCTCGCCGCCACCCTATCCTCGTCGTTGGTTCTGGAAATTCGGGTACTCCACTCCTCTGTATCGCTCCTTTTTTTCTATTTTGAAGTTTAATTGCCGCACCTTTTTAAATCTTGATCTAGAAATTTTCCTAGCGAGACAAGTGAGTTCTGATCAATGCATTTTCACTGATTTTATTATGTGACTACAAAAATGTATCTTGTTGCGTTTGAAAGCTCATATTTTATTTGAATCCTGGAGTAAGACTGTGGCCTTCAGCCTTCTGTCTTCCATTTGTTAGATTCTGCAGTGGCCTATATGTTCATGGGACTTGTCAATTGATCCACAGATAGAAAACCTAACATGTTTATGTTTATGCACTTTGTTTACATGTTTTTCCCTGTATTTTCTTTTCTGTTAGAATCATGATAGATGATCTTGCTTAGCTTAGGAATTTCGTGCGAAACTATTTAATAAGAAAAAGCAGTCTGGTTTGTAGATTTGTGAATTGAACGTAGTGACAGTTGATCAAAATCATAAAATAAAAATCTTTATGTTGCACAAGGGATGACCCACAGAGTTGGCATTTAAATACGAAATGGAAACAAGAATATAATCAGGCAATTTGTTTTTCTTTATTTTTCCCATTTTCGCTTATCTGGAGAGATGTGTTTCTTTCTGCAGCCTTTAGTGAGGGCATGGCTGATGATGGCTATGATGAAATTGTCAATATCGACATCTCCTCAGTGGTGATTGAAGCAATGCAAAAGAAGTATCAGAGTCGCCCACAGCTGAAATGTATCCTTAATGGCTCACAAATAAGTTGGGCAGTTTTAATTGACGTGCATGTATGAGTTCTTAAATAGATGAATATGATGAGGCATAGAAAGATGAGTCAAATTATTTTACTTCCAATTAGTTTTTTTATACAGTTGGATTGTTACTTATTTGAAGAAAACAAAAAGGGGGCATTTTTCCTTCATGAATCGCACAGGACATTTCCTTAACACCTGAGCAGATATGAAAATGGATGTACGAGATATGAGTGCTTTTGGTACGAGGTCCTTTGCAGCTGTCATAGATAAAGGTAGCCTTTTTACCAGAATGTGTTTCGGTAAATGATTTTGCATCAGTATCTAATGCTTTCTGGTATAAATATTCTTCCAGGGACGTTGGACTCCCTCTTGGTGAGTCCCTTGTATTGTGTTTTGGTTTTCATGTTCCTTTGTTAAGTCTTTTTGTTAGTTGAGATGGGTTTTTTTTTTTCTTTTGTTCTGCAGTGTGGACAAAACTCACAGCACAATTCTTCTAAGATGCTTGAGGAAGTCTGGAGGTATATTAGCAACTCAAAATTCATTGGCGCATTATATAATTCTCTTATTTTAATGTTGTTTTATCCATTTGGCGCTACTCCTAAGTTGACGCAGTTGATGACAAACTATAGGGTTCTCAAGGATAAAGGAGTATATATTCTGGTAAGTCGTGTCATCGTGTTTCTAAGGGAAGGACAGAAAAAACAGAAAACAAAAAGGCAACCAAATTGCTTTTATATTGTTATGAAACTTATTATTTGCATCTTTTTATGCTTTTCTTGCTCTTACTTGAGATTTCGATGTATTCAGATTACATATGGATCACCAAATTATCGACTGCCAGTATTGCAAAATTTAAATTGGACGATCAAGCTGCATGTAATAGGTTGGTAGAAACAGAAGTAGAAACAGAATTTGTAGTCATAATGGATTTTATCCTGAAGAGTATCTGTTTGAAGTAGTTGTGTTTGCATTTTAACGAGTCGACTTTACATGATGACATGCAGAGAAGCTTCAACCAGGAAATCATAATAATAGTTCAAATTTGATCCCAGAACTGACCTCTCCTGTTCCCATTCCCTTGAATGTGGATGAACAAAGCTTCCCAGAAGCAGCTGTGGGAATAAATTCCAACGTGCACTATATTTATGTATGCATAAAGGTTTGTAGTACCGTACTCACAACTAATTTGTGTTACAATGGGCGGATCAAGAATTTAATAAAGGGGTAGCCTGATAAAACGAAATCATTGATCAATTTTATTTCCCATAGTCCAATTATTTTCCAAAATATATATATATATATATTTTTTTACTTGTTAGCTGCTTTTATAACTCACTCATCTTTTGGTTCAGGATGATTCAGGGACAGGGTGAGGAATGACTCAGTAATAATGGAAGAACGATATAATGTATTATATATATGCCACCTTCAGTTATTGTTGTTTGTACTAGATTTCTGTTGTATTTTTGTAAGAATGATGGTGAGTTTCGTTGGTTGAGGATGATTGATTTCAGATGAACATTTGAATATGTTGGTTTTCTAACTGAATATTAAAATTTTGACCATCTTGTAATAAGTTTGATTGGTGAAATTTGTGCTCATTGTCCAGTTTGTGTTCGTGTGTGAAAATTGAAATGAAAATATCACATACTAAAGTAGTGAAATATTTTCGGGGACAAAGTATTGCGATAGGTCAAACCCAAACTGTCTCATATGGTGCCAGTCAGACGGTTTTTTATCTTTTACCAATTACCAAATATTTTAACCGAAGGTTAAAAGGTAAGACTCATCATTAGATTCAAAGCCTTCCATCATTCTATCATATAACAGGGTGTTTATGTTCCCATCTACCAAGGTGAATCTATGTATGTACATCACGTTAAAAATAAATGGATATTAATAAATGTACATAATTTCATTTATGAGTAAGGCCGTTATATTATTTTTTCACTCCGCTCAAGCTACTAGCAAGCATACGACTCGGTTTACATTGACAAACAAGGTTTGAAGAAAAAAAAAAAAAGAATAATAATGTGTGTGTGTGTGTGTGTGTGAGAGAGAGAGAGAGAGAGATGAAATGATGAAATAAGTATGAGAATGCTAAGCTCTTTAGCTATACATCAACTGAATTTCGAATCAGAACCAACACACAGCAGGCATTATTACTATAATTACAAACAGCATCCATCACACAAGAAATTTACAAGAACACGTGATTTTAAAATCCCCTTCCACAACCCAACAATATATATAGATAGATAAGACAGACATATGAAATCAAGAAAGTTCACATTTACCTTTCAATCAACTCAACAAATGTATCTACTGCAATCTTGGTATGATATCAGTGAGATTCCTGTTGTTTCCTCACTCTTCATTGCAAATGATTCTGTTTACGGATTCTATTTCCTGCCAAAGACAGCAGCAGTTATGTTAAATCAGTCACTATGATTAACCATACACTAAATCATAAAATTGCATTTTAAGTTTTGCTTTATTAGTACCATGGCAATTCCCTCCCTCATTCGAGCAGTTGCCATCAGGTCTACGGTGCTGAGTCAGCTGATTATTGACTCTCGATTGTGGTTGGGCCAACCTCAAACCAAGACCGTAGTCAAATGGCCTTGTCGAGCTGTTCTTTTGGTGCTGATTACGGGGCTTTAATTCCTGCACGCTCAGTAGCTTTTTCACCATGTCATCTAGCTCAGCAACCCGCATTTGTAGATTATGTTTGTCTATCTAAAATACATTTATAGAACAGGTGGAAACATATGTTAGCCTTCATTATGACATAGATGGTGGGACACTTGAGGTTTAGCTTCATTATATTCAATAATCTTATTTTTTGAAATGAAAATGCCATGCATTACGATTTCCGAAGATCACATTACTTACAAAATAAGAATATATGTAGCACATATGTGTTGTACATATGAACATTATAAAACAGAAATTGGTATAAACTATATACTCTCTTTCAATTTACATGTAGTTCCTTTTTGTTGTTTCATTCTATGTGTTGTTTTACATTGTCAATGGACCTTGTTTATATTCCATATTACACCCCTTCCGTTTCGTCCCTTAATAATTTCCCTATTTGTACTAGTTTGGCATCTTGAGAATGGAAATCATGTTTTTANTGGAATTTATATTAAATAAGGTTGATACAGTCATTTTGTCACTGAAAATGGAACTTTTATTAAATAAGATTAATAGTCATTATTCCTACTGTAATTATTGTTCAAAATCCTTACGCGTTTCTAGAACATAGGGAGTTCTAGAATTTTATTGGTGATTTTGGAGGAAATATAAATCTTTAGGTAATTTGATTTTTTTTACCAAACCTCATGGGTATTTCATGCAACTAATATCTTTAGGCATTACACATTTTCGTGATAAGCATACTCTCAAATATACCTTGAGCATATCATTTTGTGCACTCAACAGCTGGTCTCGCTCTTGAAACTGTTCTAAAGCAATCCGAGTGGCAAGTTGGTCTGATTTGTTTCTGTCTATTTCGGTAATGCATCTGCAATAAACAGTATCAGTACTTCCTATAAATAAAAGGAGTGGATTTAATGAAAATCCACTAACCCAGGGTCCCACAGAAACTGAAGAACAGTTTTTTTTTTTTCCTTTTTAAAACGATAGAAAGAACAGTCTGTAAAATGTAATAAACTGAGGGGAATCGCTTTAACTTCTAACAAGCCGTAAATATTTAATTGATCATTTCACGTAAACAGTATAATGGTATATGAACAATACAAATCACCTTTCTCTTTGTTCGAGTAAATCCTCAACTTGACTCCTCAGGTAAAGAATTTCTTGTTCCTACTCGCATGAAATGTACGTAAGACGCGAAGAAAAATGAAAAGAAATGTCAAATAAAATGGATCCTGTAAAAACTTTACCATTGAAGCAAAATGTTGTTTATGATGTTGAGCCTCCTCAATTAACTTCTGGAGTTGATGATGGTCAACAATATTCTAAAGAAAATCAACAAGCGTTGTACACATTAGATTACATAAAAAAAACTGGTCCAATACAGTTGTATAAGTGAGGTTGAACTTACAGTGTAATTCGAGATATCCAATTTAACACTGAGTAAATCACGAATGACATCGTGTGTCATGCTTTCAGCAGCGGCAAGTCTAGTGTTTAGCATGCACACCTGAAGCATTGGGACAATCATGTGCCAGTTAAATTGGATCCACAATGGGAGAAAAGTAATGCACAATATTGAAGGGCAATGAAGGCCAACAAAAATGACATATGTATTACAGAAGTAACAGCAGGCAAATATTTATTCATCCCTTCAACCACTAACCATATATTCCACATCCCATAAGGTTGCATATCTATCCAAAGGACTTGAACTATTTAAGATCAGCAAACATGGACATAAAGTCTAAGGGTAAATGAACCCTTTGTGAACAGACGATCATCTTGATGAGCGAAAATAGTTTCATTACATTACCTCTTTATATCTGCTGGCTGCAAGTGCCTCAAGCTCTTCTATACGAAGTTTAGCACTTGATAATTCATGATCCTTCTCTTGATTCATTTGATGGACCAGACCAGAAATGCATCTGAAGGGTGAACTTGAACCTCTTGTCCTTGCTGACTCTTTAACAGACCTGTCTAAGGTTGCCCCACTAGATAAATTTGATGTATCTGTTTTAACTTCGTGAAGCATTGCTTCCAAGGTCTTGTACTGCTCATAAGACGACAATGAATTATTTCAAACGAAAAAAATATTCAAGGTAATCAATAGACTTAATATCAAACAAGGACTGATTACCAGACAGACAAATCTGTGTTTCTTTTGTACTGAAGAAAATGTTATTGACCACTAGATCCAAACACTTCACACAACGGGAAAATTATACACCCAAAATAGATCAAGTTGAGGTTACTCTATTACCCAAGGTAGGCTTCTGAGATCGTGTTCCTAACAACATTCGAGATTACCTTTTGTTGATACTGTGATGCTTGAGCTTCAGCATGCAAAACAAGTTCAGAAATATAATCTTTGAATTGTCTTATCTGCAGGACTTACCAAATGATTTTATTAGTATACAAGGGGAAATAAAAATCTTACAATAGATAGCCAATTATTTTAATAGGATCCAACCTCCTTAGCTTGTTTTCCGTTTTCCTCTTCAAGGAATCTTACTCGGATGTGAGCATCATTATTTTCCATAGATCTGACATGCAATTCCCGTGTAGAAACAAATTTAAGCAAGTTAATTATTTTGAAGCTTATTAACAATATTTTGTGAGAAACCGAAAATTTCTTATACCTGGAGAGATGTTCAGGCAGTGCTGTGCTTGAGCTTTCAGAAGTCATACTTTCAGTGAAGTCCTCAATAGTAAATAATCTACGTCTAAGTGATTGAAGTTCCAGCTCTAATGAATCCCTTATCAACCCATGGTTCTCTACCTCTTCTTCCATTTCATGCACCTTGAAATCCAAATATAAAGATAAATTTACCTCTTACATTCTTAAATTTAACATTTTTACTAGATTACACAATGGACTTACTTTCTTCTCCAGTACGTTTATGGTGCTCTCAAGCTCCTCGATTGACCGTTCTAAAATTTTGACCTCCTCTTCTTTTTGTTCAGCATACATTTTACTGCTCTCTGACTCCTACAAATTCTAACTTGGATTAAGAACTGATCGTTCAAATTTCACAATCTCAAAAGACTTGCAATATAACATACCTGACGGGCTTCTACAGCTATAGCTTGGTTCTCATCAGCTAGAGCACACGCAAAATCAAGTTTATCTTGCAAAGAAGTGAGCTTCTCAACAAGTTGGTCTCTTTCTGCCACCACCTCTGCTAAAGCATCCTCAACATTGTCCACTGGAGATCCCATTTGTCTCTCCCTTGATGAAGACGCCCGCAGAATTTCTCTCTCTAAGCTTCTGATAGCTTCTTGTTGATCCCCTAGCAGCTGCTCTGCTTCTGAGTTTTTCAGATAAAGATTTCTCAGAAGATCTTTCAACTCGGCATTTTGCTCTGACAAAATATTTAAGGCTTCTTTTGCCTGGTTCAGTTCAGAATTTGAGTTGCATAAATCCTTTTCGCTCTCAGACAAGCGGCCTTCAAGCTTCGTGTTTTGAGTGAGAGCATCATCAAGTTGAACCGTTTTTGTCTTTAACTCATGCTGAACATTGCTCATAGCGACAATCAACTTTTCAAGTTCATCCTTGATGTCCTTCCTGTGGGAAGCAAATTCTTGGAGAAGACTGAAATCGAAAAGTAGGCCTTTCAATAGAACATCTTTACGTACCAACTCTCTCACGAGTTCAGAGTTCTTATCGACACCATCACCATCAGAGAGGTTAAGACACTTTTCCTTTCTTGACAGAGATATAACTTGATGCCCTTTACTTTCATAATTCAAGGGTTGGACACCTGAGTTATCATCTTGACATATAACAAGATCATCTGCAACTAGAAAATGTCCTTGGAGTGTGAGTCTATCAGAACTGGAAACTGAATTTAGCCTGCTGACTTTGTGAGAGAACTCTCCCATTTGGCATTGTAGCACAAATGTACAGATGTCACTCTGCATTACTTTGCATATTATTGCTTCCAAGGATGGTATGAAGCTACCACAGAGACTTAGTATTTCTTTAACAACTTGAATGGCATCAGTATGTGCAGTCTGAAGCAATTCCTCCATACCCGTCTGCATCATAAGAAAACATTCTTCCAGTGAAGACAGAATTTTGCATGCTTCTTCTAAGCTAAATTGGGTCTCATCATGCTGTTCTTTTTTCTCGACAGAAGTATTGGTATAAGCTAATGTTGGATTTCCAACAACAATGTCTGTGGGACTACCCAGGGCATTATCAGATACCCTGTTTTCACAAAAGATATATTTGTTATCTTGATCATCAGTAACCTGGCCATTTGTGGTCGTGGGTTGAAATTTTGTAAATTCTTTATTTCTAGTTGAGACATCAGACATACTAGAAAGCTGAATTTTCTCTATGATTGAAGTATCCACCGGCTGCTGAGATTCAGTCAGAGCAATAGCTGCATCCTTCAAGCAATATAATTTCTGGTCCATTTCCAGCATAGTGTTTTGTGCGTCTTCCAAACTCTTTTGCAGCAGCAAAATGGTTTCCTCTTTTTCGATACATATTTTAGCAGCCCGCTCAACTTGTTCACTAATCCAATAACTAACATTTGGAAAAGAGGAGGAAATATTTTTTATTTCTCGAGAGGCATCCCGCAAGGATTTAGAACCATTCACTAGAAACGTGGTTAGCTCCAATGTTGCCCTTTCCCATTCTATGTGAGACTCATAGAGTTCAGTCTCCTTAGCTACCACAGTGTTTCTGAGACTTAAATTCTGTTCTGCCATGGAGCACAAGCATACTTGAAATTCTGACTGAAGCCTATCTATCTCCTCCTGTAACTGAAGGATTGTTCTTGAAGTTTCCATCTCGACTTCACTGCGTACCATTTCAGTTTGGTGATCCTGGGATACCCGTGTTTCATGATCATCCATTAACCGCCTATTAAATGTCTGTGCTTCCTTGAGATCCTCAGACAGCTTTTCCAACTTTGTTTGCCAAGCCAAAGTCCCAGATATTTCATAGTTCTCATTTTGGTTCTCAAGTTTCCTCTTTTCAACTTCCATATTTTCTAACATTCTTTTCAAATGCTGATTTTCAGACTGAGCAGATTCTAGTTCTTTGACTAGCTGGAACTGCTCCAGTTTCACAGTTTGTATCGAACATTGTGGTTCCATCAGCTGTTTGTGGATGTTTCCATGCTTCATATGTTGGAGATGTTCAATCTTCTCATCTTCTTTGCCATAGATGAAGTTATTCCCTGAGAGACTGTTAGATTGCACTTCATCTGAACAATCACTTCTCAGTAATCTATCATCCACCTGCGAAGAAGATAGAAACTATCTAGGATAATTCAGCAATAAAAATGCTTCTAACAATAAATTTTCCTCAGTTGTATTTACTAAAAGGGTATTAATAGAAATGAGCTCTTTGGGTGCTCATTATTTTATCTATTGCACTGGTTGCAGACTTACAGTAAAGTCCTAAGATATGTGAGAAAATTACTTCAAAAGGTGTGCATTTGTCCTTACTGAGTTATAAATATCTTGGTTACAGTGCATCTCCTCTGTGACTTGCTTCCGTAGTTCATCAACTTCCCTGCAAAACACAACATACAGAAAAATGGTAACAAGTTAATCATCTGATTCAGGAAGAAATAGAACCCTGAACACAATATCAAAGTTCCATAAAGAGTGGCAATGGTGAACCTAAAACAGTGGTAAAATTCAAGACTAACGCATTCTACATTAATTTAAAAAAAAAAGGAGGAGGAAAAAATAAAGCTGAAAACCATTAGTACCTAACACCAAGTGAATAGAGTATATAAACACGATGAAAACTGGCAAGCACAAAGAAACGAATGAGAGGATTTGCAAGATAAATCAGAATTCATTTCAATGTCTCAACTCAACAATCAAACTAGATAATAAACTGGTAAAAGAGAAAGAACCAACAAATGTACTTTACTGAAACTGATCAAGTGAAAAATAAAACGACATAAATTAAGAAAAAAGATTATCAAAACTCAAAAGACGTGCAGTTCAAAATAATACTCACCTGACTAATTTAGAATTCATATCCTTGCATCGTTTCAACTCTTTGACAGCATCAGTTTCCTGCCATTTGGGGAAATTATCACCACAAATAAAGATCCAAATTTTTAAATACTCGCATCAATAAAAAAGATAGTGCTACCTGGTTCCCATGCAATGGTGGGATCTGATGGTGAGCATAGCATTTTTCAGCTTTGAGTGATTCCATTAACTTCATCAAAACAGGACAACAGAATAAGAATTTAATCACAGATGAGCTGTATTGAAATGATAATAATTCAACCATACCTTAATGCGCAACTTTGATATCTCAGAAAGCAATGCTTCTCTTTCACCTTCGACATAGGAATCTTGAAACCTGAAACAATTGGAAAGAGAAAAAAGATGTAAGAAGTACAGCTAGATCCAATCAGAAACATTAGAAATGTATGCTGGGTACTACTGTTTGATTTGCTCTAGCAGTTTTATATTCTCCGATGCTAAGCGATTGACTTCTGGATTCCTATTAATTTTCTCCTGAAGTAGCAGATTTTCCTCTCTCAAAGCATTATTTTCATCCAGGTAAAATTTGTCAGCTGATATTAAGCCATCCAAGAGTGACTCAAGGCGTTTTATCTTTTCTTCACGGAATTCGAGCGTCATTTTACACTGACGAATTTCTTCTTCATGTTGGTGAGCCTGCAATAGATTCCAAAAATCATTTATCTAGAACCCCCATGGTATGAAGAAGAGCAAAAGTGACGAACCTTTTGACTTACCAAGCAATTTAAATGCGCAATTTCAGCTTGTAGTCTTCTGACTTCTGTCTCAGCCAACTTCTCTCGTTGTTGAGTACCATGCAAGGTGGTGCCCAAGTAGTGCTTCTGCCATAACAGTTTAACCAAATTTATGCATTCCTCTAAAATGAATGGAAGAAAAAATGTCACTCGGATTTAGAAAGTACCTTCATATCTACTTCCTTGGGAATCTTATGCCCATCAAGCATATTAATTCCATCGATTTGATCATGACTTTCAGAAATATGGCCGAAGGGGGTTTGTTCAATTTTTGGAATAGAATCTGTAATATCCTCAGAATTTTGCTGGTGCTTCATCAAGAATGACAACTGATCCTGTTCCAATAATATTCTAAATGACAAGCCCAGGTGTCAAAAACTACACTTGTATTGTTATTTAGTAGCTTTTACCTTTAATTGTTGGATCTGCTGCTGCAATGCAATTACACCTCCAGAAGCATCTTCATTTATTTTAGCCTGGAAAGACAAGTTAAAATGGACATCACAGTTTATATTTTTTATTCTAGAGAGAGAGAGAGAGAGAGAGAGAGGAGCTTGATTAAAACTTATACGTTATTCTGGATAAGCTTCGCACGCTGTGCAAACTTCAAAGTGCTTAATGTCTCATTTGCAGAGCTGCAAAGAAGTAAAAAAAGGCAAATCCAATTTTTTTCTTTACAGAAAAATCACTTGTATAATTGCTTCAATATTATCCTAGCATTACCAAACAGATGGGCTGACATTTGCAATAATGGTTGTTTTGGAATTTCCACCAAGAGAATCCTGTATTCAGAAAGGCAAGTGTAACTACAAAACTCCATATACAGGCTCAGTGATAAAAATTGTTGAACTCCACTTAATGGTTGAGCTTCGTTTTTGGCCAGAACTCATTTATCTCACCTGAAGAAGAAATGTTAGCCTAGAGTCTCTGTAAGGTACGTGTCGATGTTTCCCATGTGCCAAATCAACTAGAGACATTATAACCAATCTGAACATACAGTAACAGAAATTAGTGTCCACTGAAATGGAAAATGAAGAGCAAACAATAAGACATAATAATGTCTTCGAGATGTAAAGAAAACAAATAGATGTTATTTCATTTTTGTTCTATAGAGTTGGTGAACTAAAAGATATCCACAAACTGTAAACAACGATGTAGTGATGTGAATCTCTCGTTGTCAATTCCTGAGTCAAAATGGTGCTTATCAACAAGAAGGGGGTGTATTTTGTGAAATGTATTATTATATATTGTGTAACAAAGATTGTGTTCCACAATAATCTTAAAGAAATAATTATTCAGTATTTTCTATTAGATGTTAGAAGCTTAAACCTGTACAATATTAGCAGTTTCTCATGTCCTGTGAGAAATTTTCACCTATACTCACAGACATAATAAAGTAGCCTAATTTCTGAACATAACACATGGAATACCACCTCAGAAAGGACATGATGTATAGATAATGAATGATGCTACTGAGCTTCAAACCAAATAGACAATAAAAATGTAAACTTATGGGACAAAGAACTATTACCCAAGGGTTGATAGCGATTTGTTAATATTAGCAGCCTCTTTCAAGCGATCTCCTTCGGCCCCTGAGCTCTTCTGCCTAATAAAGCTGAGATGTTACTCTCAAAATTCATCTACTGAATTTGATCTTATTATTCATAAGAGTGGCTGTTACCTCTCAGAACCAGCCAAGTCTACTAAATTCAATCTCCCAAATCTAAGGTGGGCCATAGAATCTTTCTCCCAACGGCTTTCAACAACGCAGGTGAAGACACTATGGGATCGGCTGCTCTCACTGTTCATATGAGTTGCAGCTATCTTCCTATTTGCAGCTCCCTACACAATGATATTGTCATGCTAAGAAAGTTTCCAAAGAATGGAATGGAACATCCTAAATCAAAGATACTAAACTTAATGAATCACCTGCTGCAAAAGATGGAGAACATCATTAACTGTTCTGACATTGCACTCTGTAAGGTTCTCAACATATACCCCTTTCTTTGAGTCTTCTCTAATCTGAACTTATCAAGAGGAGAAATTAAATGTTTTTATGAAAAGAAAGTGGGCAAAAAATAGAAAAAAGCAAAAAAAAAAAAAAATCATTTGACCCTCTAGAGTCAATCCCGAATACCTGAAGGTTAATTGAGGAAGGCTCAAGAAGGTCCGTTATCTGCTCATTGTATATCTCTAGGAAGGAACATTTGCAGCTATATGCCAATCTCTCATGCTTCCTACTCTCTTTTTCCTTCAAGATAGTCACAACATTCAATCTTTAATGTAAAGGCAGGTAATTTAATATCCATAGACCAAATAAAATATTTTCAAAGCATACCTCTTTGATCCTTGTGAATAAATACTCGAAAATACGTGGAGTGATTCCACAATCGTCGTGGAGCTTTCCATCCATCTTATCAATCTCACCCATCATCGTGTATGTCTTTCCGCTACCTGTCTGCACAACAAGAATCGTACACTTTCTAATGTTTCATACGACCATGTAAGTGTGTTCCAACTGCTAACCTTCTTCAACAAAACTTACCTGCCCATAAGCAAACATGCAGCTGTTGTACCCGGACATGCAATTATCCACCATGGGCAATCCAGCAACCCTGAAAAGCTTTTCCTACACAGATATCAATATATGGGAAGTCAATACCCAAATAACACGAGAGCAACAGCCTGAGAGAACCAGTAAACATGAATATCTATGGTCTAGGGCTACGAGTCCAAGCATACGCCAATGATTCAAATTTAGATAACATATATGTTTCCCGTTTACTGTTAATTTTTACATACCGAATCTGCTTAAAAAAAAAACACATTTCTGAATGAGGACCAATCATCATAACCAAAGTACTTAACAAATATGCACCTGTGATATAGTTTCACAAGCTATATGATCAAAAGTGAATCTGGTTTCCGGGTGGCCCTGCCAAACTACTGAATGTGCACTCTTTTGCCTCAGGCATCTCCCGTGTCCTTGGGATGCCACCTCAGTACTGTTCAAAGGTCTTATCCGAATCAAAACCTTCAAAGGGAAAAAATATATATATGAATAACAATACCCATCATTCATGAATCGTGAGGTTCATAACTCCTACAAATGAATATGAACCTTAATTAATGAAATTACTCAAAAATTTGGATACACAAAGCCAAAAATAAACCTGCACATTGTGGTCTTTCCAAAAGGAGGGATCGTCGTCAAGTTCAAAACTTGGAACATCAGCTGATAATAGTTCGGGAAGCGATGCAGAAATCCCCCGTGGAACCCTCGGTAAAGCGCCTCCCCTTCCTCCGCCACTACCCAACTGAAATGGAAACCTTGTGAGAGCATACCCAGAACCAGAGCCAGCAATGGAAAACCTTGGCCCGCTTCTAATCGCTGTGTTCTGAGCCGAATTGGGTTCTGAATTAGCCGGTTTATTTCTGCCATGAAGCTTGGGAGTTTTCACAAGTGTAGAGACAACCTGAGCTTCCATATTCCCGTCCGGTTTTCTTCCAGCAGAAGCTTTTGACGATTCCAGTTTTTCCGGCACCGGATTTTTCGACTGACATTGAGACGGGTCGGCAATGGAAATGAGCGGAGCTCGCGATGGAACCAATGGAGTCTGATTGCACGAACTCTCGAATTCATTCTCGTTCGGTGCCTTGCAGTGGCTCGCCCGAGCTAAAGAACCCTCTCTCGACATAATTCGAGCTTTGATGAGCGAAAGAGCAAACAATGGAGGTGGAATGTGACGGAGTCTCGAGAGTCAACGTGAAAGCATGCGAAGGGGGGCTCAGACGAAGTCCACGGCCATGGCGATTACCACTGTGGAGTTACAGTTGAATTGTCCGACAATGCTTTTGAGGAATGGGGAAAGGGAAGAAAGATGGGGAAGAAAAAGGTTGGCTTGGAGCTTGAAAAGGCTGGTAAAATTAAACCCCACTTAGGAAAAAAATAATGATTAAAAAAAATAGAAAAAACAAGCCCGCTTCAAATTCAAATTTCAATTAGGTAGGTCTCGAGATAAAAATACAAAATTGCTTTTATGGTTCACCTTAGTTTTATATATTTATCATTTGACCCCGAGTCTTTTATTCATTCCTTTTTTTCTGGCAATTTTCTCATTCAAGATTTTTATTTTTATTCTAACATATTCTTTCAGGCTAAGTTTGGATTGAAGGATTTACTAAGTGATTTGAAATTCAAATATTTTAAATTTACAAGTTCAAATCCTCATGAATGTTGGGATGGTAATGTAAGTTGGAGGATTCAAATTCATACTAGATGTTTTTTAGTCATTATTCTGAATAATTTAAATGACTCATCAAACCTAGTCATTTGAAATCCACTGTTTATCACCGTTGACGACCACGCCGTCCGCGATCATTTAGGTTCATCACCACTGCGAGTCAATACCATCGGTGCGAGCTAGACAATTGATTTATAATATTTTCAATATATCCATTCAAGAAGTGTGCAAGTAAAAAAACTTTACATTTCAAAAATTTTAAAATCAAGGAATTTCAAATCCTTCAAAACAAACGGAGCTTCAGAGTTTAGTTCATATTCTTATGTTTGTGTGGTTAGTTTCAATATTGAAGAGTTATAGTCTCTGATGTGAAATGTTTAGTTCTAATTGTCTTGCATCTTTTTTTATTTTATGTTTTAGTTGTTTTTTATTATCTTGGATGTAATCCAAGATACAGGCCATAATCCAAGATACAGGCCATGTGCTTTTATTAGTGTATTTAGTTTTAAAACAACAGACTAAATAAAGCGAATTAGAATTCATAATTTATTCTACTACCTAATATGGCTTTTATTTGGTTGGACTAACTATTAGTCTATTAAACTAACATTTTTTTTTTTTACAAATATACATACTTCATTAGAAAATGTAATACTTTAAAAATAATATAAACAAAATTATGATATTTAAAATTATATGTATGTATTTTTGTTCACATGACATGAATAATCTATCTGTCTAACGGTTAAACTATCTCACACAAAAAAATAAGAGTATGATATCTAATATAGTTATGCATTTTTGTCCACACAGTGTCCTAACGGTTAAATCGTCTCACACTAAAATCTATATTTAGTGTCCGTATACCATATCAAGTATGGCTTCCTAAGAATGTCGCAAACTAATTCTCATTAAATGAATACGTACCATCGTGAAATAATTATATGCAAGTATATAATATACACATAATATAACTTTGTCATAAAAGATTTAGACTGCAAATTCAGATGTAAACAGGACTAGATATAGAAAGTGAAGTATTTTGTTTAAGATTCTCTCGAATAAGAGAAAAAATTCTCTCTTCCTGAAATATTGAGTCCCGCTGGTGCAGACTTGTTTTATCTTTGCTTAGAGCTTAAATCCCTTCTCGTTTCACTCTTCTTCGCTTTTTTCTTTTCCCCTTTGGTTTTGGTTTTTTTGTTCTAGGGTTTCTGCTTATCCTTCTACTTTGTTGGGTTTTGTAGGTTCTTCTTGTTTTTGGTGTTATTCACTAAGACTACTGTGAGATAGAGGTTTATGGAGGAAGATCTTGCCACGTAGTTGCCGCTCTCAGAAAAAAGAAGCAGAAATCATATCTCATGATTGAACCAATGGATATTCATTAAGTTCAGAGGAATGTCGACGCAACTTGTTTGGGAAGATAATCAACCAAAAGAGAGCAAATTTAATCGGGCTGAAGAGCAAATCAGGTATGCACTATTAGTCAAAGAATTGAGCCCTAATTACGTCCAATTCCTATTCACAAAGTTGTAAGATAAAATCAAAGTAGCAAAAGGCAATTGTTTGACGTTTGAAAATCAATTCTTAGTGTTTAGAGAATGGAAGAATGATCTATCTGTTGATCATGAAGACTTCAAGGAACTCGACATCTTTGTGCAAGCGCGAAACATCCCATTAAATTTGGTGTCTACTGAGGTTGGGCTCAGAATAGGGAGAGCATTCAAAAGGGTCAAAGACGTTTCAATCCCTCAGGAAGGATTATTGGCTGGTAAATGCATTCGCTTATTGGTTACTCTTGATCTACAACAACCAGTTTCGAGATGTGTCAATATTAAACTAGGAGAAAGGAAAATTCTAGTAGAGTTCAAATATGAAAGGTTAGTGAGCCTTTGCTGCGATTTTTTGGATAACTTAGATAAAAATTGTGAAAAAAGAAACTCGGATATAGCCAAAGGCCATATAGTTGAAGGAATGTTTGGTGACTGGTTGAGAGTTGAAGATTCATTCTTCTCAGGTGCCCCAATTCAGTCTATAAACGACAATGGAGTTAGCTTCCTATAAACGACAAGTAAAAAATATGAATTAAAAAAATTATTTTTTATTTTTTTTGGTAATGAGATAATATAGTATTTTTTACTTGTCTTGTATAGAGGGTTGGATCCGTTGTAGGGATTTTTTTACTTTTCTCTTGTTTGATTCATAAATTTGGATAAGAGGGAAAGGAAAATAAGTTAGAATTCCATCCCCTCTTCATTTTTGCTCCCCTAAAAGTGGGGGAATTTGGAGGAGAGGGAAAATTTAACACACTCAATTACAATTTTACCCTTATTATATATAATATTTTAATTTAAATTTTAACATTATTAAGGATATATTTGTCATTCTAACATTATTTTCCCTCCCATTTCATTATCTAACCAAACAAGGTTTAACATTTTCCATCAACTTCCCTTTAACAAAATCCTTCCAAACAAGGTAAAATTATTTTACATCACCTTCCTTTCTTTTCTTTCCTCTCATTAAAATCTCTCCCCTCTCTTTCTCTTCATTGAACCAAACATACTCTTAGACTTTGAATAGTCGTATTCTAAGGGGGTAATTGGATATGAATTCAACTAGTAAAAAACTAGTTTTTTTTAACTATAGTTAAGTTTGAAAAAAAGTAATATGGTTAGTTGTTAGGGGATATATTAAAATAATATTTAAATTAAAATAATTAAAGTTGATTTGATGTAAAAGTAAGAGAAAATGATTGGAAGTGATGATTAGTTAAAATTATGTGAGTGGGTGAATAGTGAATTAAAGTTGATGTGATGTGTAATAATAATTGTTTGATATTATTTAATTATATTGATAATATTGAAGATAGTGAAGTTGAGTTAAAGTTGAGTTAAATTTGAGTTTTGAGTGAGATTTTTACTGTACAACTTATAAACAATCACGCCCTAATTAGTTGGTTGTGTCAGAAAATTAGATTATTATTAAAGTTACTGCAATTCTGTAAAGCACTATAAAAAATGGGATCGGTCAACAAATTCGAAAAATACATGCTTAAGCTTAACAGTATTGGAGGGTATTAATTTTGAAAACCACTTTCTATTCAAAAAAGGCATCATTAATTGGCTAGTGGCTCTGAAATTATATTGATATATTGTCAACCATTATTCATACACAGTAATACAGATGCACTAATGGTCAAGTTATGCTCTAAATACTTTGTATGTTATAATGAAGACAAATGTTCTTATACTTTTACAAAGTTAATGATGATAATAATAAAATTAAAAAAAAATCAATGATTTGTTTAAATAACAATTACTATGATTTTGAGATTTTCCTAATATATCCTGTAGGAAATATTATATATTACGTTATTCAACATTATCTGCTAGATACACCCATTTCAATGGCTGATGAGTATTGCGTTTTTCTAAATATGCTATTTTAATGTTAATATAATATTACATTTTTTAGCACATTCTCCATAATGATGAATCTACTTACTACATTTTTCTTTCGTGTTAGATGTTAATGACTGACAGTTAACTAAGAGATGTTTAAATCATATTTTTTTTATTATCTCAAATGAAGTTTCCTAGAGTAATAGTGAATAATATATTTGAAAAGGTAATTTGTTTTTGTTCTTTTGAATTGGTATAAGGTTCCATTTTAATAGGTACTCCTGGGGATAGATCAAGTGGAACGGGTGTATTAAATAATATTTGAAATTATAATTGTTCTTTAAATGAGTAAAAATGTATGCCAATTACAAAATAAATATTTGATCCGAAATTCCAATTATCTCATATATGAAAAATAAAAATTAAGCATACTGGATAAATTTTATTATTCTTTTTATTGAAAAATAAAAAACAAATTTAAAGAAGGAGAAGAAGAAGAAGAAGAAGGAGAAGAAGAAGAAGAAATGGACATAAATAAATTGATTGGCAAATATAGTTCAAACAATTAATTAAATATTGCAACTCCCTAACAATATTAATAATATAAAATTTACATTAATAATCTTAAAAATTGTGTACTACTACTAGAGTATTTTTGGTGATCCAAAAATATCAAGAATCCATTACTATTTTTATGATAGTCATAAATTCAAGAAGCCAGAGTTATAGATTGGTCACACAAATGCACAATATCAAGATAAATTAAAATTGTAAGAAAAACTATATTCTATTATTTTTATTGTTGTTGTTGTTGTTAAATATTCTAACATCAAGGAGCCAAATTTGTAATGTTTGACTTCTATAGTAAGTTAAGTTAGAATATGTGGAATGTTGGTAGCATTAGGATATGATAGAACATAGGGAATGTTAGTAGCATTAGGATTAAAATTTAAGGTCTTCTCCTATAAAATACAAGTCCCTCTCTCTCATACGAAAATAAAGTTTTCAATTAAGAGTTATGTGAAAAGATTGGAGAGTACGGAAACAAGAAAACTGGAGAAGACTATAATTTGGATTCATTGGAGAGAAAAACATAGCATTGGAGAGTACGAAAACACGGACTATAAGCTGAACTAATTGGAGAGAGAAATACATTACTCCCTCCTATTCATAATAAGTGTCATTTTGGGAAGTTGCACACTAATTAAGAATAATTTTTTTGCCAATAATAACCCTCATTAATGAAGATAGAGATTGATGTTTTAAAAAAAAAAGATGAAGAGAATATGAAAAGACGTAGTGTATTTATTAACTAGATGAGGGTAATAATGGAAAAATATGTACAAAAGATCCAAAACGACATTTATTTTGGTTAATAGTTGATAAAGCCAAAATGACATTTAAAAAGAATAGGAGGTAGTATTAGAAAGTACGAAAACAAGAAAATTGGGAATGATTATAAACTGGACTCTTGTAAGTTCTACGTGCAATTTAATTAATGCAAAGATTCATATTACTATATGAATTGATAGAATTACATGTTTAAGGTTTATTCAATCTCACCTAATAGTTATGAATATGCCTATTAAATTTCTTACAAATATACATTTAAAAAGTGATATGTTAGTTTAACTTTAATCTATTGTAATAAATTAAATTATATTTCTGTTAAAATAAATACCTGCGAATTTTTAATAAATTATAACTACATATAAAGACCATTTTTTTTTCTAAAAAAAAAAATCAAATCAATGATAAATTGATACGTATGCAACCAATTTTGCAAATGCATGTAATGTCTCTTAAATTGAGAAAGGTAAGTTTTATTATTGAATGATACTTGGCCACCCGATGAATGGTTTGAATATTTGATTTAAAACTGTAAATTAGTTTCAAGGGCAGTCATTGCCTTAAACCATCTAGTTTATCCAGTATTCCACAAAGTTTAATGTAGTCCAAACATGACATTCAGTTTGCCGAAAATTTATCCTTTCCGTAAATACAGTTAACTAAATTTAGAGGCAGTTTTTAATAGCCGCAGATTGAATAGCGTCCTCTTTGTATAAATAAATGCAATTTTTTCCATCACCAAAAAACTATAATTCTTGAATTTAGCTCACAGGTTTTCTCTACAAATCTTGAAATTGTCCCACATTTTTTTAAGAGAAACGAAGGACGTTTTGCAGGAATCTATCTTTTTGTAAGCAATCAATTAACGACCTCATTCTACTCTGAGTACCGTGTTTTTCTTCTTCTTCCATTGATCATCAAAACCTGTCTCACTTCTTTTGTCTTTTGTGTATTTCTTGCAGATACATTACAGCATATGTATGCCTGCCTAAAATTTCCCTAAGAAGTCCTCCCGTTTCTCTTTTTTCTCTCTTTCTGAAAATACGACTCCAACAAAAAGCAATAAAGAAAAAGGTAAAAAAGAAAAAAAAAAAAAAGTACACGTCCCGTATAAGATCATGGTTGAAGGAGGAATTACACGTGCGGATAAGACCGAGTTCACCGAATGCTGGAGAACATCATGGCAGACACCTTATATCATGAGGCTCGCCTTGTCAGCAGGCATCGGTGGCCTGCTTTTCGGATACGACACAGGTACTAACCTGCAATTTTACATATTGTAACACCTCAAATTGCATTTAACCATGTATGATGCTATTTTTACGGCATAATGATTTCACCTTCTCCTTCAGCATCATTTTTTTCCTATAAGTATGTGGTGGTGATGCTATTTTAAAAAAAAAAAAACAAAACAAAAAACAAAAAACAAAAAAAACTAATTCACTGCTTAAATATAGCATCTTACATTAAAGACCTGGTTATTGTTAGAATTATATCCTCCTTATCTCATATATAGAAGTAGAACCACTTCTATCTTCAACAATCTACACGCTATTCATTATTTGGGTGCAGGTGTTATTTCCGGTGCCCTTTTGTACATAAAAGAGGATTTCGAGTCTGTTGATAAGAAAACATGGCTACAGGTAAAATTTAAAAACC